GTTGATCAACGGCATCTAGCATTGATTAATCTTATTACATTTTGTGTTTCATTCTGAATTTTAATTTGCATCCATGAATTTAGACAAACAAAAATTATAAGGAATTTCAATAACCTAATTTTGGGAAAGGATCATCAGGAACAAGAACATACGATAAATGTGAGACTTATTTTACACTTGTTTATTTTTGATTAGAATGCATTAAATTTTCTGCACTATGCATGATGAATCTTAATTGACATCAGCGAATTCACCACTCTATCAATCATGAACAAACATAAATTAAATTGAATTTTTATAACATTGGTTTTACTTACAAGGGAAGGTTTTCCGGCGATACAGTCAGATTTCAATGGCGCTTCAAAGTGTTGTTGTTTTGATCTCTAGATTAGGTTTTGCATCGGTTTTAGCTGCCGTAGGGAGTTTGAAGGTCGTTTTACGCGAATTTAATTAAAAATTCGCCAAATTTATAGCCTGATAATCAACTTTACATGCACATATCTCAAGAACCGTTTGAGCTACCTCGCCCAGATTTCGAGGGAAATCATAATTTAGCACTTTATTTACATGTAGAAAATTTGAACGAAATCGATTAGAGTCGCAAAAACGGGTCCCGAGAGGAGGTTGCGATCCTAGACCCGTTTTGGTGACCCCTATTGATTTGGTTCAAATATATTTGATGGCAAGTACTAACTGAAAGATAATTATCTGCTAAATCTGGGCGCTGTAGCTCAAAGAGTTCCGCAGATATGTGCATGCAAAGATAGCAAAAGAGGGATGAAATTCGCGTGAAATGACCTCCAAACCCCCTGCGGGCAGCAAAAACCAGGGCCAATCCTTATCTAGAGGTGCAAACAACTTCTCTTTAAAGCGCCTTTGAAATCTGACTGTATCACCTGAAAACCTTCCCTTGTTAGTTTACATCAATAAATTCACCCCTCTATGAATTGTGACCAAACACAAACCAGAAAGAATTTGACGGTTTTCTTTGAGTATTACTTCTAATTGACAAAATTATAATTAATCAAAATAGGTTTATTCACAATCAGAGGTCAAAATGAAATCCTCCATTCCAATTTACTGATTTACGGTTGTCATTGAGTATTATTTTTAGTGTACATATATGAATTCACTCACCCTTTCATGGATCGTGAATAAAGACGAAGTATAAGGAACAATCAGTGGTCAAAATTAAATCCTACAATCAAATTTACTGATTTACGGTTCGACGTATCCCGACAGAATGGGCGAATATGTTTTGGGTCGGAACAGAAAGGGCGTATCTTTTTAGCGACTGCGAGAAAGGACGTATCTGTTTTGGTGCAGAACAGAATGGGCTTATCTGTTTTGGTGGAGAACAGAATGGGCGTATCTGCTAAGAACTGGTTTTCCTGGAGATGGAATTGAAAGTTTGAAGGGCTCTGACAATTAAAGTTGACGTCGTACTCTCAAGGAAAAAAAAGTTCCGTCCAGGAACGGATCGTGAAAGCAGATGATACGAATTCAAGTATTATCTTCTTTTTATAATATTTTAATGGGGAGTTGGAGTTAATGGAGGCGAGTTAATTAAACAAATCGTCATTTTTTTATTTACACTTCAAAACATATGCATACGTGACTGGCTCAATCTGCAACAGCTATTTACAAATCTTTATTTACACTTAAATAACATATTTACACACGAAGGGCCCCATCTACAAAAAAGGGAGAAAATTATGTTAGTTTAATAAAGGTAAAATATTTATTCTAGGAAATTGATTAGTTTCGTTGACTCACCTCTCGCGATGTCAATGATGAGGGGAATGTGGACGCTGAAATAGGACTGGTAACGGCCCACACTCATTGAGGCCGCGTTGGAGTAGACGCCGTCGATGGTGGTGCCGTTGTAGGTCGTGGGCTCGCTCAGGTCGTTGCTGTTGGTGAGCCCCCTTGCCTTCAGTGCTTCAGAGATCCGACGCCCTGCTGCCGACTGCAGATCTACGTTGAAGTCGGCAGCGAGGACGGTCGTCTGGGCGGGGTCGGACGGGAGCACGGCGCCGAAGGCCTCCAGGATGTGGTCTTGCTTGGCTCCAGGATGGCAGTAGAGCACGGCCACCAGCAGCTCGTCGCCTTGACGCGCGCTCACCGCCTCGACCAAGGGCAGCGTGTCCACGACTCGCTCCTGGCAGAGCGGCAGCCTGGAGTACACTGCCACGCCCCCCGCGGCGTTCCCCTGCCCGGCTGGAGCGTCACAACGCGCCACCATGTGCAGGCCGTGCCCGAGGTCCATTGGCTGTCCGGGACGCACCCAGGTCTCGGCCAGCAGCAGGACGTCCGCCTGCATGAAGGCCTTGTCCAGGACGACGTCTTGCTGGTGGGCGATGAGGCTCTGCACGTTGTGGTACACTAGGCGGAGGCCGGTCGCTGGGCGCTGCACCAGGGCCGCCCACTGCGGCACGAAGGGCTTGCTGCGCAGGCGCTGCTTCTCCTTGGCCAGGCGCTGGTCCTTCTTGTCCACGCGGGGGTGGTTGAACAGCCTGGACGAGCCTCGGGGGGCTGGCCTGCGCTGCACGCGTCCACTTTTGACTCGCCGCAGCCTCTTCCCGTTGGTATTGTTGATGAAGAGGCCTGCCAGCGTCCGCACCCGACTCAGCCCGACGTACACCATGTTATTTTGCATTTGGTCGTAGTACTCCACGCAGGCTTTGTCGTAGGAGCCCCCCTGAGACGCGTGGATGGTCTCGGCTAGCGACGGCACCAGGGGGAACTGCTGGCGGTACACGTGGCGCCACTGCTCGGTCCGGAGCTGGTTGAGATGCCGGTCTTCGCGCTCCACGGGCACCAGGCCGGCCAGCTTGTCCTCCTCGGGGCACGCCGGCAGCTGGAAGGGCAGCGCGTCCACCAGGTCCTGCGGCAGGCTCTTCTGCCGCTCGATGGCCGCTCGGAGTTGGAGCTGGGCAGCGCGACTCGTTGCGGCGCCGACCTCACCGGGGAAGCGCAGCCAAAGGGTTTGCACGGCCAGCTCCGTGGTGGTGACGCCCGGTGTGCGGGACTGGGGGCACAGCACGCCGACCTGCACCCACTCCAGCACGCCGACGGAGCCGTTGCAGAGGCCGTCCGGCACGTTGATGTTGACGGTCAGCTTGTAGTAGTGGCCCGCTACAGCCATGAGCAGGTGGGGAAGTCCCTTCGCCTTGGTGGTGGGCAGGACCTTGGCCCGCTCCAGCAGGTCGTCGTGCTTCTCCAGCAGCTTCCGCCTCCTGCACACCGACAACCCCTGCAAGTTCTTGTTCTCTTGCACTCGGTCTCGCGCGAACAGCCGGATGATGCAGTGGCTCGGGGACTTTAGAATCTCGTGCAAGTTGAAGGCATCCTTGTCTTCATTACAGTGATAGAGTCTAGGGCAGCCGCGCGGCACCGTCAGATTGTTTTCGGCGACAAACCTAGACTCTATCAACGCACGGTCAGCGTCTGAGAGTGGCCCCTCGGCGTCACCGATCCGTGTTAGCAGCTCGGCGAAGACCTTGTCCTCCCCCTGGCGCATGTTCTGGGTCAGCTCCACGTACTCGAACTTTTGCCACAGAAGGGCACTGCCGGCGATGCTGTCCGTGGAGCTGGCGTAGACGGGGGCGCCACCAACGGGGACAAGCTGACGAAAGTCACCAAAAATGATGGTCCACAGGTTGCCCATGTCCACCTCGCTGCTCTTGGCCTCCTTGCAGCGCTGATCAACGGCGAGGAAGTTGCGGTCCGACATCATGCTGACCTCGTCGATGATCTGTGCCTGCACGTTGGCAAATGCGTTCTGCAGGTTGCCGAGCTGTTGCCCCTGCAGGGGTAGCATCACATCTGCGCCGTCGTGCAGGCGTCGGGTGGCTGTGGCCTCCTGGTTGTAGGACAGGTGGTAGTTGTGGTGCAGGGTGCCGCCGCCGATGTTGAAGGCCGCCTTGCCCGTGGGGGCGCTGATGACCACCCTGCTGGAGTCCTCGTTGCTGTTGGCAGGGCAGAAGGTCTCGAAGGCGTTGGCCAGGTTGCGCGCCACCACCGACTTGCCAGTGCCCGCCGCCCCGTCAATGTAGATGAGGCGGGGCTTGGCCTGCGTGCGCACGTCGTGGATGACGGCCAGCACCACCTCCCTCTGCTTGTCGTTGAGGCGCCGTATCTGGTCCAGGAAGGTCTGCCGGTCCCACACACCGCGGCGCCGCACCTGTGCCGGGACCACGGCCTGCTGCGGCCGCGATGACCCCGGCAGGTCGATGTCGACGTTCTGCGCGTCGTCGCAGTCCATGAACTCCGCCACCGCCTCCTCGTCGAAGAACAGCTTACTGTTGCCGGCGAGCATGCCGCGCGCGTTGCAGTCCGCCTCCAGCGCCTCGGCCTCCTCGTCGGCGATGCAGGCCTCCAGCTCGCCCGCCAGGGTAGTGTCCAGGCCCAGGACGGCTTCGAACACCTTTCTCCTGGCCAAGATGGTGTCCTCATTGGTGGCGTACAAGTTTTGGAACGAGCTCTCCCGGCCCACCTGCAGGATTTCAGTTTGCTCGTCACGCCAGGACAGGTGCAGTGTGCACATCGAGCGGTAGAAGTTCTCTCGCTCGGCCTCGTCCTCCGACTTCTCAGCGTACCGACGGTACCTAAAATAGAATAGAATCTTAATTAAACACCATTACAGTAACAACATGGGTGTACTAAATAACATGTCATTTAAAAGTGACATGTGGCGAAATGTAAAGAAGCCCATATCAAAACTGATTAATTACCTGATAATACGGTGAGATCGGCGTGCCTTGAGGTCCTTGGACTGGTGGTGCAGGGCGACGAACTGGGCCAGTGTCACTTGCTCGAGCTCAGCTGGCCGCCTGGAGTAGACGTCGTACACGTCCGGGTACCACAGGTCCGTCGAGCCCTCCGGCAGGTTACGGATGTCCTTGGCTGGCTTCGGGCAGTGCACTCGTTCCTCTGGCGGCGAGGTGTCGATGAAGGTGCATTTCCGGCTGGTCTCACACAGGGGGAACTTCATCAGCACCCACGCCGCCTCCTGTGCCGAGGTCTCCTTGGCGCGCAGTGTCCGCGAGCACAGCATCCTCATCAGCGTCCTGTCGTCGAAGCCGTGGTCACGGCGCAGGCGAATTATTTCGTTGTGGAGCTGTGAGTGGTTTTTCTCTGCCTTGGTGACGTAGCCGACGCAGTAGTTGGCCAGGCTGTAGACGTCAAGGATGATCTGGAAGTCGCCGTTTGCCAGGAACGCCTGCAGCTGCCAGTCCAAGTGCGGGTTAGTCCACCTGTCCACCACGGCCCTCTTGTAGAGCACCTGCGGCCGCCGCACGCCCGTGCGGATGGCCAGCTCGTAGGTGGCGTCGTCCGGGCAGCGCGCGGCCTTCCACACGCCCGCCAGGGTGTCTGGGCAGTCTTTGGCGGCCAGCACGTCCTTGAGCTTCAGGCGGAGCTCGCGCAGGTACTCGATGTAGGTCGGCCAGTCCATGTCCCCGCGGTCCTCCTCCCTCCGCTCGTCCTCCTCGGCGCGCAGCGGGAACACGATCCTGGTGGTGGGCGTCGGGAAGTAGGGGGCCCCGAATCTGCAGTGTCTATGTTTCTCCTGGTCGGTTAGCCGCTTAGTGACGAAACGATGCCGGATGTGTTTGTTCTTGTAGCAGGTGGAAGTATGGTGGTGCTTGTTGCGTTCGGCCAGCGGGTGGGAGCTGTCGCACGTGATGAGGGCGTCGATGAAGGCGATGGTTGCAGGCAGGTCCTTCAGGGGCTCGTCCGGTCCGTCGTTCACCCAGAGGAGACAGTGTGCATGTGGGCTGCCGCGCTGCTGGAACTCGATCCTGGTGAACCAATCTTTCACAAAGTACTGTCCCATGGGTCCATTTTTCTTCATCCGCAAGTATTTCTTTAGCTGCAGCACGATCTCCCTGAAGTAGCTCGCGCACACAACGGGATCCTCTCGAATGAGACGGAGCTTTTCCTCCGACGACACTCTGCCCTCGTCGAGGTCTCCCTGCTGCATCACGTCGTCGATGGCCTCCATGGCTGCGGCTCCGACGGCCGAGGGCGGCGCGGTGGCGAAGCGGTCCATCTCTGCGTGCTCCCGGTGCAACCGCTGCAGCACCTTGATGAGGATGGGGGAGTGGTACTCGGCCGAGGACAGCGTCAGGAAGAGGTGCGGCCGGCCGAGCTGCCTGATGGCGGCGAGCAGGTCGTGCCCGCGGCCGCGCCAGTACTCGGCCGAGTTGGGCAGCAAGGACGGCATGGCGAGTCCCTTCTTCAAGGAGCTGCTGACAAAGGCAGGGTTGAGGAGCTGCTCCTTGGTGATGTCCTTGCCCAGAACATCCTTGGCACCGCGCTTGAACTTGTGGCGCAGCCGTCCCGCCGCCTGCTCCCTGGCGTGAAGGTTGTACTTGTACAGCAGGCTCTGGGGGCGGGCGCCCCGCCGGTCCACGCGACGGATCTCGCTCCGCATGGCCTGGAAGCGCGTCACGTGGCCAGTGAAGGTGCGCGGCTCGCCCAGGTAGATGCCGGGGAACGAGAGCTCCTCGGCCTTCCGGTCCCACACCACGCTCACGGGTATCTTGTCCTCTCCCGGCGCCAGGTCGATCTCGTCCGTCTCGGCATTGGCTCGGCTGGTGGATGGCTCGGCGAGCGCAGGGGCGGGCGCAGGGGCAGGGGGCACGGCGGCGCGGTCCTCCATGAGCAGGGTGCTCTGGATGGTCCCCAGCCGGTCGTGCATGTCGGTGTAGCCGTCCGGCTCGTCGGGCTCCCCGTAGAACACCTCGCCGCCCTGGTTGCTCCGCAGCTCACTGTCCTGGTCGCCGGGCAGCTCGTCCAAGCGGGACTCCTCGAACTTGGCTCCGTGCTCGCGATACAGTGTTGACTTCTCCAGGAAGCGCCCCCACTGTATAATCTTGTCCTTGCGCACAAAGCTGCGTGCGAAGGCCCGCTTGTGCACCAGCTTCCTCTTGATGTTGACGACGCATAGCTCGTCCTCCTCGGGCAGCAGCGGGACAATGGTGCGCACGGTCTGGTCCGGCTCGGTCGGCACGTTGATCACAGAGCCGCGCACGCCGTACTGGCCGCGCTGCCCCATGGTGCCCAGGTGGACGATCTGCTGGAAGGGCAGGCGCAGCGCCAGGACGTGCTCCTCCACCTCGGTGAGCGGCCGCAGCCCGGGCGGCAGGGGCGGGTAGCGGAAGCCCTTGACCACGGCGCTGGGCGGGACCTCCCGCTTCATGATGTAGCGGCGGCAGGTCGCGCACATGTCGTATTGGCCCGGGACGGTCACGAGCCTGTCCAGCAGCTGCTGCATCGCCTCGCGGTCTTCCTCCCGCCGGATGCACTGCAGGTCGACCCGGCGCACGCCGCGCGTATTGAGGAAGCTATCACAGACGTAGCACTGGGCGGCGCACACCCCGGCCAGGGCCTCGTTCACCTTCCTGCACACGGCCTCCACCACCGCGGGGTCGTTGGGCCTCTTGAAGTCCACGGCGGCGTCGTTGTCGTCGTCATCAGGCTCAGATTCCGTATCAAAGTCTCCTCCATACGAGTCGCAGTCTGAGCCCTCATCCGAATCACACACGGGCTCTGTACAGAATCGACGCGAACGTTTTAATTATTATTTAACTGCTTTACAAAAATATAATGATTTAACTGTTCTAAAATTATGCTTACCGCCACTTTCTTCCGGCAAATCGGTTTCTGCGATTGCAACTTCACTGTCATCGTCGTTGCCGAGTGAACCTGGACCTGGAGAATAAACTAGTTATTGTAATATTTCGCTTAAACACCAATCCTTAGCCCGCTCTGTACGGACACGCTGGCTGGATATGACTGTAGTGCTAGCGGTATTCCCGTACACGGGCGGAATTACCAGGTCGGGGTTACCAGAGAGGTTACCCTGTGCAGGTAATGCTAACACAAATGCCTACTTACCAATACTCTGCTTCAAGCGCTTGGCCCTGAGGCGCTCCCGCTCCTGTGGTCGTCTCTTCTCCCGCTGCTCTTCACTCATGGCTGCCCTCCGGTCCCGGTCGCGCTGCCGTTCCTTCTCCCGCTGCTCTTCACTCATGGCTGCCCTCCGGTCCCGGTCCCGCTGCCGTTCCTTCTCCCGCTGCTCTTCACTCTTGTTTGCTCTGCGCTGCCGCTCCCGCTGCCGTTTCTTCTCCCGCTGCTCTTCAGACAATTTTCGCGCCCGTGGTCCCATGTTTACAACACTTCTAACACTAACTGCACAGAGCACCTGCAGTCTGCAGTATAAACGATATGCACGCGCACGCTGCCTTGCGAGAGACAAAACTGAAGAAGCCTAGGCACACGCACACTCTGAGGCTGTACTACGCAAACTGATCTTGTCCTGCCCTTCCGTCTTAGTCCTCGACAGGGTCGAGGGCTGGTGGACGGGCTGGGCTGGCCCGCCGGAAAACCCATTTCTTGGAAACAATCTGCATGCTGCGTATTGCGTCCGTCCTAGCCCAGACCAGGCGGGGCCGAGCCGAGCAAGCCGAGCCAGGGGCCAGGCAGGCGCAGCCGAGCCGAGCCGAGCCGGGCCGAGTGACGCCGGCCCGGGCCGGGTCGAGCCGAGCCGAGCAGTCCCGGGCCGGGTCGAGCCGAGCCGAGTTTGTCGGAGGGAGGTAGAAGGGAGGGGGAGGGCGGCTGGTGGCACGGGCGGGGCCAACACCAAGCCGCCCTGTATTCTATTGGTGACGTCACGCCTTGTGCCTCTCTGCACGCCGCTCACCCCGCCGCTCATCCCGCTCTCTGACAGTACAAGCAATGACACATTTGACATATCATTTATTATTAATCCCGTTTGTGTAAAGTGTTCAAAGTTTCAGTTTTTTATACAAATGTATCATCTGCTAAAAATTGAGGTGACTCAATAATTTTTTCTGCGTTGGATGATATCAGAACATTGACAATATCTTCGAGGGTTATTAAAATAACAAATAAAAGATAGAGTCACAAGGAGTGTTTGATGAAGGGTGAAGGGGGTGAAAGGTGGCTTACATTTCTGTTTTGACTCTCTTTCGTTTTTCTCTTGAGCCTCATACTGACTTATCCCAAGGGCAGTAAGTCTTTCCTCTCATGAAAAGGGTCGCTTTGAAATGAGTAAATGTCAAAGGTACTTTTTTCAAAACTAAAATCTGTGGAACCAAGTCTCACACAACTGCGCGCACCCTTTCCGCCACGACCAAAAACGACTTGGCTTGACTCGGCAAGGCTGGGGCCAGTCTCAGTCGGCTCGGTCTCGGCCTTCGTCACTACGCGAGTCAGTTACGGCCTTTCTGCGGGCGATTTGCTTGAAGATGCAGATACGCCAAATCGGGTTTTCTTAAGCAGAAATACTTCTCGTACGAATTTCATGAAGTTTTCTTGATAAACTTGGAGAGGGGATAATCTAGAATATTTTTGTGCAATAAACTCAAATAGCCACGAAAACAGGTCACGCCTATTCTGTTCTGCACCAAAACAGATACGTCCTTTCTCGCAGTCGCAAAAAGATACGCCCTTTTTGATCCGACCCAAAACAGAAACGCCCATTCTGTCGGGATAGGTCAGGTGTTGTCAATGAGTATTATTTTTAATGTTCAGCTATGAATTCACCCTTCTACGGATCGTGAATAAAGACACAAAGTATAAGGAGTTGGAATAGGTTTTATTCACAATCAGAAGTCAAATTGGAATCCTACAATCAGATTTACTGATTTACGGTTTTCATTGAGTAGTATGCTTAATTGGCATTTATGAATTCACCCTTTTATGGATCGTGATTAAAGACAAAGTCTAAGGAATAAGAATAGGTTTCATGCACAATCAGAAGTCAAATCTTAATTTTTGGATTGTTATTTTGAATTATTTTATTTATTTCAGTTCATATAAATCAGGAGACACGCTCAGCCTAAAATGCACAACATTCTACTAGTATTTACAGCAACATTTGCCTCTTACACAATCTCCGTTTCTATTTTCTGACGACTGCCCTATGCATATAGTTCTGCACTGTTGTGCACTGACTGTAGATATTCCTCTTACCATACCCCCATTGGTAGAGCACCTTTGTTCTATATAGTAGCCCAATCTGCAATCAGTTGCTTCAGAACTTGAAGTGATGCAAGAGCCGATCAGTGCAATTACAACAACAAATCCAAAAATCTAAAAAAGGAGAAAACCAGAGATAATAACAAAGTAATTTTTAACTATTATAGGAGAAAGGCTTTTTCTCGCCCTTTCTTTACCCTTTAGGGAACATCCTGGTGTAGGGGGTTCAAAAAATATAAAAAAAATTGTGTGTCTTTGTAACAGAAAAAACAGCAGCTTTATTCAAATGCAGATAAGTTCTTGGATTGTACTTGGATCAAGTGTTATTTTGCATTTGAATAAAGCGTTTCGGTCTCACTACAAGTAAAACTCGGCACCTGAAAAGAACAACCGCTTACCTCCGCGGACTGGAAACAAACCCGCTTACCTATGCAACCCTCAAACAAAACCGCTCACCTCTGGGACACGAAAACAAAGCCTCTTAAATGACTTTTTTACACATTCTGATACATGGGTATCGGGTAGGTATCATTCAAAAGAGAATTTTTCAGTGATCATTTTGATACGCGTATCTCAAAATGTGTAAAAAAAAGTCATTTAAGCGGCTTTATTTGCGTGTCCCAGAGGTAAGCGGTTTTGATTGAGGGTTGCAGAGGTAAGCGGGTTTGTTTCCAGTCCGCGGAGGTAAGCGGTTGTTCTTCTCAGGTGTCGAACTGTTCTCAAGTCAAGTGCAGAAAAGGTGTTCATTCGATTGAGATCATTTTACTCTTGGACCAAAACCCCGTTTTTCTGGGTGTAGCTCACAATTATAACTGTGATACTAAAAATGTTCTTCAGTTGAAACTGTATAACATTCTGATCTTAAGTTAAAACATAAATTCTGAGATGCGCAAATACCTTTGTCTTGGAAATATCTTTCGCAACGATTGCGATTTGTATTAAAACGGGGCTACTGGTATTGACCTACCTAGCTATAAAACGTATAGTCGGCCAACAGATACACTGGCATATTATTACAAAGAAATGCTTGTGCTTCGCAAATCGCGAAGTATTTGGAATTTTTGCAAATTGCGAAGCAAGACTATGTAATTACCAGGAAAATGCTCTAACCTATCTAACCTACAAAGAATTTTGATCGTAGGAATTTTACAGTGAGCTTTTGTTTTCGTCTCCCAAGGCAGCGCCATTGCCGCTCATGGGACCCGTGGAACAGAGTATAAATTGGACGACTATATAAAAATATACTTTTACAGATCGAAAAACTGTTTCACCGAAAGAAAAGAAAGTTAACACCTACCTTCATTTTGATAAGTTTGGTTATATCAGGTGACTCAGCTTTTTAGCCTTCTATGACAATAGAGCGTTCCGTTGAGACTGCTCTAAAATGAGCTTCTGTTTGGCTTTATATAGATATTGTGTTCCCCTTCCCCCAGTACTGACTTCACAGTGCGCATGCATGCGATAATTCATTCGTTTTATTTCTTCCGCTCAGCAACGAGGAGCCCTTAATCTCTCATGCTCTGCGATACGACGACGCGTTCTTGACGTCCAAAGAGTTGGCCAACGGACGTTGGTCAACTGGAGGTCAGCTTTTAATTATTTTTTTTTTCAAAAATTCAGAAAAAGAAGCCGGAAAAGGCAAGAAAGAAAACATTCTGCTGAAGAACCGTAAACACAACGTGACCGAGCAGTGGCGTGTAGCGTAGCAAAGGGAGACGATATTTACGTGAAAATTCTCGTTTCAACATCCTGTAAAGTACCCGTTCCTTGGTGTTATAATTCTTGGCACTCTATGGCACCGTGTTGTGGTACCTCGAGAGTACCCTGGACCCAAACGGCGTCAATTACACCACTAACAAGGGAAGGTTTTTAGGTGGTACACACCAATTTCGCTGGGCGCGATACATATTGCAGGGGACATATGTGGATTAAGATTGGCACCAGTTTTAGCTGCCGCCATACTATGTTTTTCGTTTGTTTTGGACAATTTTTAGTAAGAAAACATCATACAAGCAGCAAAAATGTGATCTTCAAATGCCTATATCTCCGGAACCTTTTGAGCTACACCGCCAAGATTTTGCACAGAGGTAGGCCGAATTGGTAACTAAATTATCGTGCAGCATAATTTTTTTTGAAAAACATCGAAGAAAATGTCACAAAATATGTGCACCTTCCTTACTCGGATTTCGACTTGGATTTCGGACCATTTCAACAATTTTTTTCGACTCTTCTCATATTTTTAGACGATTAAGGTATCTATGCGGCCTACCTCTGTGCAAAATCTGGGCGGTGTAGCTCAAACGGTTCCGGAGATATAGGCATTTGAAGAAAAGTGTTTGACTCACACGTTGGATTGAGAAATTTGCACATTTAAAAGTGCTTAAGTCGAACACTTTCAAGTCCCTAAATTTGCTGCTTCAGGTAAATTCGACATAGTGTTCAACACTCACAAGTGCTTGCCAGTTCTGCACTTCAATGTATGGATGCCATTGGGGATACGAGAATCATGGTACACAGTTTTGAACTCCAGAGATCATCCACAGCGGCAGAGATTGGTGCCTTGGCAGGTGCTGCAGGTAACCACGACGCCGCTGAGCGCACTCCGCACCAGATCCATCTGCTGAGCGCAATGAGCCGCCCTGTGCTGTCCTAGTTTAGACCTCAGGAGGACCACTTCCCGAACATGACTGTCACGTAGGTGCCAGATTTCCAGCACATTCTGAACCAAGAATGGAGAAACAGAAGAAAACATATTTTTAGGTGCCGGACATCTCGCCCCAGCTAACTCACCCCAGGGCCAACTTGCTCCGATTTCCCGTTCCCAAAAAACGTTCAAAGAACGTAAACATAATTACCTATGACAAAGCGAGGTTATTTTGAAAGTTTATGTCATGCCGATACTCATGGAGCAAACCCGGGGCCTGTACGTTGAGGGGAACAAGGCGCAACCTGCGCTCAAAGTTTTTTGGGCGATTTAGCGGGTATCTCGACCGACATGTTCTCGGTCCCGCAGTGCCGCGACGCCACCGTCGCCGACCACGCCTCGTCGTTTGGTGACTACCTATGGTATGTACTTCCTGTCGGATATGGTCCGACCCGCCCCTGACCCTCCTCAGGAGGCGGGGCGTAAGTACTCGAAAACCGTGTATCTCGCTCAAGACCGAGTACCGTTTAAGATATGGGAACGCCGACTGCTCGGAAAGGTGGATGGGCCGAAGGGCTATCAAGGCCCGAATAGCGAGAGCATAACGTTTTCCTGCGTCATAGCAAAAATGCGAATGGAAGGGTCTGAGTGCCGGGAGACACATTCAAACGGCGGGCGGGAAACAGAGACGGTAGGCGATATAGTATACTATATATGTGTCTCCCGGCACTCAGACCCTTCCATTCGCATTTTTGCTATGACGCAGGAAAACGTTATGCTCTCGCTATTCGGGCCTTGATAGCCCCTCGGCCAGGCCCCGTTTACGAGCAGGCGGCGTTTCTATATCATCAACGGTACTCGGCCTAGAGCGAGATACCCGGTTTTTGAGTACTTACGCCCTGGCTCCTGAAGAGGGTGGGGATGGCGGGTCGGACCATGTCTGAAAGAAAGTACATACCATAGGTAGTCACCACACGACGGGGTGCGGTCGGCGACAGTGGCGCCGCGGCACAGCGGGACCGAGAACATGTCAGTCGAGATACCCGCTAAATCGCCCAAAAAACTTTAAGCGCGGGTTGCGCCTGGTTCCCCTCATCGCACAGACCCCGGATTTGCTCCATGAGTATCGGCATGCTATAAACATTCAAAAGAACTTCGCTTCAGAAAATTTGGTGACTTGACCCCTCAAAATGAAACAACCTAATTATTGCTCAAACTCCACCGAGGCCAGCGCAAGCAACGCCTGAGCCTGTGCTGTGGCAACTCAGAGGTCAGAGGTACTTAGAATAGCTTTAGGAAGGATCTTTGAAGTCCAAAAAGAGACATCCTAAAGCGAGCATGCGGACACCGAGCACTCTATCGAGAGACATTACAGAGACTACCCCCGCAACTAGGTTCGAGCGTGTACACTGGCAGCCCAGAAACGTGGAAAACCTAGGAAGACCTAATAAAACCTAAGAAGACTGAAAAAAATACAAGAAAGACCTAACTTACTTTCACCTCAAAAATTTAAAGGAAAACCCAAAGAGTTTCCGGACGACCAGAAAAGTATCCGGCAAGACCGCATTAATCAGGGGAAGACTAAGAAATTCGTTGGAAGAACAGAAAAATTCTAGGAAGACCAGAAAAGTTGTGGGAAGACAAGGAAAAAATTGGCAATTGAAAGCCAGGAAGAACAAGGAAGACCAAGATAATATCAAGGAAGACCAAGAGAAAACCCAGGAAAACCAAGAGAAAATCGAAGAGAACCTCATGAAGCCTTTGAAATCCCTTACAAAGAAATCTCAGGAAGACCGAATAAAACGTAAGAAAACTAAGAAAACCTCTAGAAGACCAGGGAAACCGAACTAATTGTCCGTAAGCTTACAAACAAATAGTTCGTAACGCAAACCGATTGTTCGTAAGACCCTGTCTAGCCTCACAAACAATCGCTTTGCAATACATACAACGAAAATTGTTCGTAACGTTGCGAAGTATTTAGTTCGTAAGCTTTTTACAGTGTGTGTACACCGGCAGACCACAGTTGGGGACTCCTCGGACTACCCGGACACTAGGGCTGGTTTTGCGATACTTTTAACAATGAAACCATGTGATAACTAGTGTTTTTCGATTCCCACGCTAAAGGGCATGATAACCCCCAAACATGTTATAAAAGTATCACATTATTGTGGTACTTTTTTCACAATTTTGGGGGTTATCAAACCGTTTAGCGTGGGAATCGCAAAACACAAGTTATCGCAAAAATTCAGTAAAAGTATCACAAAACGGATTTCAGAGGAGACAAAGCAGAGATTGCAAGGAGAACTCGTAAATACATCTAGGAGACACTGTAGAGACATTCAGGGGACCGTATGGAAACATCCAGGAAACACTATAGAGACAACGAAAAGACAAAATAAAGACAGCCTGAAAACAACCTACAGACGTCCTCCGGTCACGAAGAAACAGCGCGCGGAAAAATTCGATGCGTACTGGATTTCAACAGCACGGCACACCGCGTGATGCGCACGGTACATCGACCCGCCTGAACACGCGCACGGAGAGAGGCGAACACGTCGCAGTGGGCGGAACTCGAACCCCCGCCCTCCCGGTGTCGGAGCGCAGCACGGTATCCACAGGGCCACGGCGGACACATGCAGTTGATGACTAGGCGGATCCCTCCTTTGATGCAGAGATACCTGTGCTGTCTTCAGGCTGTCTATATTTTGTCTTTTCGTTGTCTCTACAGTGTCTCCTGGATGTCTCTATAGTGTCTCCGGGATGTCTTGATAGTCCTGGATGTCTCCACGAAGTCTACTCGCAGTCTCTGCGTTGTCTTCGGGCAGTCCCTCTAAAGTCTCTCGATAGTCTGCTCGGTGTCCGCATGCTCGCTTTAGGATGTCTTTTTTTGGCCTTAAAAGATCCTTCCGAAAGCCATTTTAAGTGTCTCTGAGTTGCAGCACAGGCTCAGGCGTTGCTTGCGATAGCCTCGGCGGAGTCTGGGCGATGTCTCTGAAAGAGACACATTTTTTTGTACAGGTATTTATAAAAGGAACACAAAACCGAACGTGATCAGTGACACCGAGTTTCTTTTCTGATCAACATTTTAATTTAACGGAAAAAAAACGGACCGTATGGTGCAACGTCCCTGCAAAGTCACTGCGCTGTGGCCGCTGTGGTTTAAACACTTGAACGTATTCGTATCGATTTGTAAAGACAAAATCTTCTTAAAACCTACCCCTGCGAAACGATGTCGTCTTGGCTCTGGTGGAAGAGTTGATCCAGAACTGTAATAAGAAGCACACAGTGTAAATTTTTGAAAAGTGTACACATGATTTTTTGTAACCAATGAACTGACAGGGTGTCGGACATTTTGCCCCAGCTAACTCGCCCCAGGTACACAACTCGCCCCGAGGCTAATTCGGCCCGAGTTTAGGTGAGTACTGAATGCAAGGTTTAGCAAACTCGCCCCAATCTGCCAAATTTTCAAATTCCCGCCCCTTTTCATTTTTATGGAACTTCATCGAGGCGATCTGGATAGACTCCCACGCCCTAATCTCCTTGGCGTTCGTCCCGGTGGACGGTGCCGAGAAAAGTCACGTTACGAACCGCTCGAATACGTCACTGTGCTGGCCCTTTGTGTACGTCTGGAAGGACAGCGAGGCTGTCGAGTTCACAGACGGTCTTCTGCCTTTTCCCCCCGTGAACTGTGGAACTGCTACGAACGGACCTATTGGGGCTGCTCAGAATCACAAATTTCTGCGAGGCCTGGTAAAGGCGCCTGTCTTCCCTCATCGGGTAGCATTACCCATCGCTCTTCGTGTTTCTGGGGCAGCTCTGCGAGGAGGTATAGCTACACGACTACGAAAAGAGCGACGACGCCGTCGACTACCTGAAGGCCGTCGGCAACAATCTACATGGCTACTTCTAAATAATTTTTTTTGAAAATCCCTTAAAAAATCAACTTTAATAGGGTGCTCTAGGCTATCTAGATTGGAAGTGAAAAAGAACAAACTCACTGATTTATCTGTTTCCGCCTGTTCAGTATGATAAATACCATGGTCGTTAGGTCCGATTCTAACCTCTCAGATATGGAGGGGACCTCGAAACTGATCTGACAGTTTTTTATACCAGAAAAGCCGTAGAGGGACGTGATCAGCTCGACCAATAAGAGCCATTACGGAACGAGAAAAGTCAGTGAGCTTGTTCTTTTCCTATTTCCGTTTCGGATAGCCTGGAACACGCTATTGGGGCTAAGTAGTACTGGGGCGATCTGGGCTGGGACGAAATGGCAATGGGGTGAGATAGTTAAGAAAAGCTGTCCTAGATCCGGAACGACGTTATAATGCGGTATTATCGTTATGAGAAACAACGAAAATGACACGAACAAAATTCCTAGGCTGCTTTTCGTAGGTAATTTGATATGCAAGTATACAAAAGCAGCAATTTTCCGTGAAAAATTATCGTTTTGGTCGAGGGGGCAATCACTCCAGATCAAATTGTACGAGTTAGAACGTTAATACACTTTAGTGCACCCTTTTTTTGAAAAGTTTTCCATCAGGTTTTCAAAATAATGTTATTACGGCACCATTACGCTTGATTCCTACCATTAGTACGCGTTATTACGCTGTTGGTACGAATAAGTACGTCTTTAGTACAGGCCTGGGTGAACGGGTTAATACGCAAGTGATTTCCCCCTCGGTTTTGGTTCAGCACGACACAAGCTTGGGGCTTAGTCGATACTCTCGTAGTCTGAATTTTAGTGCAACTAAAAGATGCTACGGTTTTACACAAAACATGACTTGAGAGGCGTATGCCTAGAGATTGCGAGTGTGGACATGTGTTGTAAAACTAGCTATATGTACGCCAGACCACGTCTCGCGTAACAGGCTTCGCGATATATCACGAAACACTGTTACGCTGCGACGCGCGTGGCGCACACAAAGCTAGGCCTGCGGCGCTCACACACGAGTCGAGCTAAGGTGAAGCTAAGGTGTTCTCAACATTGTTTGGCGAAATAATAGTCACATCTATTGCAATTTTTGAGACTTATAGTTGAAGTTGCATTTTACCTCAGTCAGCCAGTACATAGATAAATGGTTAGTCTGTTCTCTGTTGCCGTACCTTGTGTCTTGTGGTGCAGAGGTCACAATGATGTGATCTGTGTCTATTTCCAGCTCGAGGCGCGAGGCCGTACGTCCCAACACGCGCACGAGCTCTCTGCCTGCAAACACAAGCGAGATGTGGAGCACATCCAATGCCGGCGTCTCTCCAGCCGGCCACGCCTCCACATCTGTGAGCTGGTCCGTCCACGTCCTAGTATGAAGAATCCGAGGACCCGAGCTTCCGCCCAGGATTAAGTCTCGAATAACGGCACTGTCCTCCGGTCCTGGGTTCTCCACCTCCAGCATATCGAGGTGCGGGCCGAGGCGACGTAGCATCCTGTGTACCCATTGAGGTGTAGGATGTCCTTCAAGTCCATATCGTATGCGGAGGCCGCGAGCCTGAGACACGTGAATAAAGATGCAATGTAAACACAGTTACTCCAGTACACAACCGATCAGGAAGGAAAATATTGTCAACTAAATGGGACCCGGTGATCTTTGTAGAACTCGACAGGTACAACAGCATATCTAAATATAAAATACACAGAGCCATGTTTAAACTAAATCAAAGTTCAAATTTTTGAGGGTTTTTAGCCCGCTCTTCTGCTTTGTAAAAGCTATATAAGTTAGCCCGCTCTTCTGCTTCGTAAACGCTAGATAAGCGGGGTTATGCCATCGCCCTTGTGTCTGTCTGCCTGTCAGTTCGTCCCCCAAGACGTGAGGCAGAGGTCGGAAAATTTCAGCCTATCATTGTTGTCACTTCTGGACAGCCAAACGGTTGGTGCAAATCCTGGCAACCAGCCCTGAGTGGGTCTGACGGGGAATAAAGGAGTACACGAAGTAGGAGAAAAAAACTACTTTTTTATGGTGTTTTAAGGGGTATCTCGAGAAAGTAGAACCCTTTCAACTAAAATTTCGCCCGTTTGGCTCTATCTTTCACCATCTAGGCGCTAGAGTTTTTTTTTTCAACAAAAAGGGCCCAAAAAGGAAGTTTTCGATTCGGGTCTTTGATATATCCTTCTGAAAAGTAAATCACGAAAATAGGTCCCTAGGACCTGCAATTTAATCCGTTCGGCTCTATCTCTCACTGTTTAGGCGCTAAAGGGAGTCTTTCGTACAGAAATGGCCACAAAAAATTAAATGATTGTTTTGACTCTTTGAAATGGCTTCCTAGGGAGTAGCTCATTAAACTTGAATCCTTTAGCCGAAAATTTCGTTTGCTTAGCTCCATCTTTCACCAATTGGGCACTAAATGGAGTATTTCTTAGCAAAATGAGCCCCCCCCCCCCACCCCAAAAAAAAAACAAAATGAAAATAAATAAAATAAATTGTCAGTATGTCTTACAAGGGAAGGTTTTCCGGTGATACAGTCAGATTACAATAGCGCTTTAAAGTGTTGGGGGCCGTTCACAAATTACGTCACGCATCTGACGGGGGGGAGGGGGTCTCTGCCCGCGTGACGGTCCTATCCTGAAAGCATTAGAAGGTTAGGTTAGCCGCGTGACGTGGGGGAGGGGGGAGAGTCAAAACCACCCGAAATTTGCGTGAACGGCCCCTTGCTATTTCCACCCCTAGATAAGGTTTTCCATTGGTTTTAGCTTTCTGTATGCTGTTTGAAGGTCGTTTTACGCGAATTTCATTGAAAATTCGCAGGATTTTTAACCTAATTATCAGCCTACAATGCACATATCTCCAGAACCGTTTCAGCTAAGCAAACAGATTTCGAGGGGGACGATAGTTCTGCACGTTCTTAACTTGTAAAAAATTTGAACGAAATCGAAGAGGGTCGCAAAAATGGGTCCCGAGACGAGGTTACATCCTGGACCCCTTTTGGTGACCCCTACTGATTTTGTTCAAATATTTTTCATGGAAGGTGCTAACTGGAAGATAATTCTTTGCAAAATATGTGCGCTGTAGCCCAAACGGTTCCGGAGATATGTGCATGAAAAGATGGCAATAAAGCAATGAATTTAGTGAATTTTTGATGAAATTCGAGCAAAATGACCTTTAAACTCCCTTCAGGCAGCTAAAACTAGTCGCTACCACAGAGTAAAAACCGCTCAGTCTACCGATGTGCTACGACAACCGCTTAGTCTGCCGAGCGGTTTGGACAACCGCTCATTCCGCGGAGCCGCTCCGACAACCGCTAAGTCAGCCGACCCGCCTCAGCAACCGCTCAAATGACTTTTTTGACGAAAAAGTTTGGATTGCACCATCGAAAAGAGCATGGCCTAATAAGTCGGAATCGGTCAAAACATGAAAAGTGTCAAACAAGTCATTTGAGCGGTTGTTGAGGCGGGGCGGCTGACTGAGCGGTTGTCGAAGCGCCTTCACGGAATGAGCGGTTGTCCAAACCGCTCCTCAGACTAAGCGGTTGTCGTAGCGCTCTGGCAGACTGAGCGGTTTTCGCTCTGAGGTATCGTAGTGTCAAGGGGTGCAAACAGGTACACTCTAAAGCGCCATTGAAATCTGACTGTATCACAGGAAAACTTTCCCTTGTTAGTAAAGCCATTGGCTCAAAATGTTCTTCTGGGCAGAAGAGTTGGCTTATTTTATGGTGGCAGGCACACACCATTAACGAAATGTGTCCGCTTCGATGCTAAAAACCCCTGGCCTAAAACATTTTGTTTCTTCCTTTTATTTGACGTTCAGAGTCATTTCAAAATATACCAATAGGTAAATTTGTTTTCCAAACATTCTTAGTCGTAGATATTTCTCAAGAGGTGTGATATTGAGTTTACGATCTTGCGTCAATTAGGAGAAATTTAAAACTAGCTATATGTACGCCAGACCAGACCAAACAGAATGCTCATCTTCGAACTTGATCTGTCATCTTAAGATACAAAACGACCCTGAAATTCCCAGATCGCTAACTCAATTCCTTCTCGAGTTATCGCGCGGACAGAAACACAGACAAACGAACAAACAAACAGAATGAAGCTTTTTCGGTCAGTGGAGTAATGGGCTTCGCTATCGCTCAGCCAATAATACTTTAAATGTGTGTCTGTGTGTAGGGAGGGGCGGGGGTGAAACTCCAATGGATGGACGTACCTTTACTGAGATCTCTTTGCCCAGCTTCTCATAGAAGGCAGCCCTGCGAAGGAAACCACAGTAAGTGAATGATGGTGGACGCAATCTTAACTGTCATAAAACCAATAAAAAAGATGACATCATCACTTTATCACCAAGGTTAAAGATTAGTTTGCAGGAATTTAGCACATACCAATTCTGTTCTAAACCCAGATTTTACAATATAATTTTCAAAGATATTTTTTAATTCCATGGGAGAGCCATCACCATGGAAAAGGAAAATCTAATGGTTTTAGACGCGTCCGTGCAACAATATCCTCTCTGTTTCGACGCGTCCGTGCAACAATATGTGTTTCGCTACCCTGGAAGACTAGCCTATCTGTTTTTCGACGATCTCTGCAGGTCTGTCTTCTTTTCATTAACCCTTTACGTCACAGAGTATCAAATTTGATGCACCTCCTAAAACACGGCCTGGAGCCGTCTACTTGTGAGGTACATCGTGTTTTTGTTATGGATATGTTTGAGGAGGTCCAGACGACTCTATCCATACCACTTACGACCTCATGAGTGCTTTGGCTGGGTTGCTGTGGAGCGCCAAAAACAGGCCTGCGAGAGGGTTCATGCAGCGCCTAACTGCAGCACCTATAGCTGCAGGTAGGGGGGTCGGCTTTTCATGGTAGTGTTCATGTTTTGTTGGCAAAGGTATGAAGTAAGCAGCGCTGAAGATAGATCGAGGATATCTCAAAAACTCGCATTGTGACACGCTTGCAAAGTTGTGTGTATCAAAAATGATACTGCGTGACGTAGAGGCCCATGTTGTGTCGTTTTATGACATTTTTTCAATGTGATTTTCATGGTACATTGATACGCGGTGAGGCTTGTGGATGACATGCGTAGCATATGGGGCTAGTCCAGAGCACCCGCAACACTACAGGAACTGTACGGGAGTGTCAGTCACAACGTATCATTTTTGATACATACGAAATTTATTCGCAGTTTTAAAAACATGGTTGTCACCGCACGGGTTGCGGGATCACTACCAAGACGTGTACAATTGTAAAATATAAAGTGTGCTCATAGGTCTACTATGACAACTTTTTGGCACCGCGGAGTGACATTACTGCACACTGCATTTTTGGAGAAGTGTGAAAACTGTGATCTAAGCAACGGTAGAGAAAGAAAGCCTAATATTATGAATCAGGTGTAGTCTTTGATTCAGGAGCAATGATTTAAAAACCCCAGCCGGAGCGATCAACGTTAGGACTAGCCGTAAACGTAAGTTATTCTTGACTTGACGTGACTTGACTAACCACGAGGCCTAAATACTGTTCAGGATTCTACTAAGAAATACCTTTCCGATTGGTTTACTTGAGTGAATCCAGGGCGAGGAGTCACTTAAGTATACAATTACCCCAGCTTGCCAAAGAGTTTTGAAGCATTATAATACGAACTAGTTCTTCGCAAGATTGTAAACTAAGTATTTCTTTGCGATGCAATCACATCGTTTGCCAATTACGACAACTTGCAAGGAATTTCTTTGCAGTACGAACCAATTCTTTGCAATACAAAGCTCGCAAATTCTTTGCAACGTTGCGAAGAATATAGTTTGCAAGCATTTTACAGTGCGTCGTTTTGAAGACATAGGGCTTTTAAGTTTGTGGTATCTACATCAGGGTTATGGGTCAGCAAGCGAATAACGTTTACCAAAACAAGGTGTCATAATAGCTTTGACATACTTAATAAGACTGTTTTCTCGATAAACGTAGTTATACTTTCATAAAATTTGCAGTTTCAAGCAGATCCTTGATGATTACTGGGAGAAATAAGGTACTACATACTTGAAATTGACAGCTGTGATATTAATGGAGACTGGGGTGCCAGTGCTACCAACGTCTAGAGCCACAGGGACAGCTCAGAGCGCGAGCTTCTTAATGAGTCCTTCCCTCCCTCCGTCCCCTTTGGAGGATATTCTTGACCAGTGTATTTGCGAAAGTAGTTTTTGATTCGCATATGTTGCACAGAAAAAAGAAGTAACGCTCGGACCTTTCAGATTTTCTCTCCGACAAAGACTTTTGAAGATAAAGCGGCCTAAAGTTAAGATTTTAGTGCGGAGGACAATAAAGAAGTTACATTTTGACCACATTTCAAGGAATTTTGATTACTTCGACCCCGACATTGCTGTCTTTCTAATAAACTTTAATTCGCCACCTTCCCCCCAATCAAATACGTCAAACGCCATCGAAAACGACCGAAAACGGCCAAAAGACACAAATATGTCGCTTATTTTGAAAGCGCCGAAAAACAGATAAGTTAGTCTTTCGGGGCAACGAAACAGATAGGATATTGTTGCACGTGCGCGTCGTTTTGCAGAAGTGGATTTCCACCTAATTTGCAAGAGTAAATAAACTTTTATCTTACCATGATTTATCCTGTTGACCTTCTGGCTGCTCCACACTCATCTTGCGAACATATGGTGCAAATTTTACAACCCGCCAGAATAACTTCCTCTCGTGTGGCGTAGGTTTTCGGTTCACTGCTCAATCAGGAAAAAGTATACAAATTAGAATGAATGGTGCAAATTTTTCAACCGGCCACAATAACTTCCTCGAGTGTGGTGTAAGGATTTCGGTTCACTGCTCAATCAGGGATGAGTCAACTATTTAGAATGAATGACGGGTGATTTAAAAAAACACTGCACTTTCAGGTTAAAATCAGTCCAATTTTTTTTTTAACTTTGAGAAACTTCTATGTTTCGTCTTCGAGATAGGTTTTCGGGGTTGGCAAACACAAGATACATTATTAATGTTGAATGATGGTGTGACTCCGAATGAAGGTTGTAGAGCAATTGTTGAAAAATAGAAGGCATAGGAGTTTACTTTTGAAAAAGGTTTGTGAGGATCTACGACAACTCGCCACGGTATAACTCGCCCCATGCCCACTTCGCCCGGACCCATCTCGCCCCAGTGCTAAGCCACCCAAATTTAAATCAGTATGAGGAATTTCTTAGAAGACGCTTGACAGGTTGTGACCGATGGCCCTTCCATCGGTGACAGAGTCATTGGCTGAGCGATTAGCGAAGCCCATTACTCCACTAACCGGAAAAGCTTCATTCTGTTTGTCTCTCTGTGTGTCCACACGATGACTCGAGAAAGAATTGAGATAGCAACCTGGGAATTTCAGGGTCGATTTAACAAGCAGGCCCGCCCTTCCACCAAACGGAGTTGCCAGCTCTGCTTCGCTCCGCCGGCAACTCCGTTCGGCAGGGGCCGGGCCTGCTTGGCCTGCCGGCGGCAATGGTCGGACGGACCTGCGGCCCGACCATTCTCGTCACGCGATTTGCTGAAGAACATGACCAAATGATGAAAAACGACGCGGTGAAGCACCGCGACTACAACCAACCCTTCTGCTTACAAAACGTTTTTATTTTGGGGGTAGGAGTTTCTTTCCTCATTTGAAGTTTTTGGGCCTTTTTCTACAACTTATCGTTCACTACAGCAATTTTTAGCATATTTTCGTCAAAAAAGACCCTCCAGCGCCTAAACGGTAAGTGATAGAGCTAAACGGATGAAAGTTTCGTCCACTGGGCCCTACTTTGACGAGTTACCCTTAAGGAGAACACTTATAAAATAACTTTTTGGACGAATATTTGAACCTTGCGTACCCCCATTCACATCCTTAGGGGTGGTTGCCACGATTTGCCGTAGGCGTTTCGTTCTCTAGGAGTGAACCTTAAGATACCCTGAAAATTTCAAGTCTCTAGCATATCTCCTTCTATTGGAACAGACAGACACACAGACACGATGTCGTTTGCATAAGCCCGCTGGATAGCTTTTTCAAAGCAGAAGGGCGGGCTAAATAGACAGGTCGAGTTCGAAGAGAAGCATTCTAGCTCCAACATTGGATTTAAAAAAAAATCAAAAACAAGAGGGCCTAAAATAAACGTTTTCTGACAACCTTTTTCCTGGGTTCCTAAGGGGTAACTCGTCAAAGTAAAATCGCTTGGGAGAAAATTTCGTCCGTTTTGCTCTATCTTGTACCCTTTGGGTGCTAGAGGGTATTTCTTGGCGATAATAAGGTGAAAATGACCAAATGGTCTATTAGATCGGAAAAAGGCTTCATATTGTATAATTGTAACGGAAGTAATTCTAAAACCACTCATTTGGCGTCGAACCACACCCTCCTATGTGCTCTAGGGTCCCTAGATTATCTACTATCACTAGAGCTTCGATTTTTAGCCCACCCTTCTGCTTTGAAAAAGCTATATCCAGCGGGCTTATGCAAACGACCTCGTGTCTGTCTGTGTATCTGCCTGTCTGTTCCACTAGAAGGAGATGTGCTAGCGACTTGAAATTTCAGGGTATCTTAAGGTTCTTTACCGCTCTTGAGATAGGAACTGCGCGAGTCCTGGAACGGGCGGCTGAACTGCGTGCCTTTCAGTCTAAGGTACAGAAATCATGAAATTTGTTCACCCGTTTCAGCAGTTATCTCTGCTCGGTGATAGGCCATAGTATAGCAGCCCGAAAAGAATCGGAAGGAACCACAGTTGGGCCAGGACAACAATCCAGACAATTTAACGACGATTTGGAACGCAAATGCACGATTTTTTCTGATAATGAACCTGGCCTAAAAATTTGACTGCCCCCATTCTTACAACAAAAACAACAGGTTGACAATTAGAGCGACGCGGATACTGTTTGGATCAATTTTCTGCTCTTCTACCAAACAATCACTGTCAAAAATATTGCACCAAAGTACACCAAATGGAACATTAACACAAAAGTTCTCAGGGGAAGAGGGTTCATTATTACGGCATCACGCATTTTCGTATCCAGATACAGAATAAAATCTGTAACGTGCATGATACAAATTTCTGTAACATGTGATCTGTAAATAACTGTGTAACTACAGAATTTCGAACCGATTTTTCAGATTGAACCTCACTACGAAGAAGATAGTATTGAACTGGCAAATACTTACTGTCGGGTGCGTGCCGTTTCCGCCACACGAATGGATCTTTGGCAACCTGCCGCCACTTACGGCACACTTGACCAACGCTGACGACGTCTTGAGTTGGCAGCCAGTCCATCACTAGCTGCAGCGCCAACTCGTGCATGTCACCGTCAGCCATAGCTTCAACAGAAACCGCTACATTTTAAATATTCAAATGGGATCTTTATAGGTAATCTCCAAGACTGTCTCTACCAGTAGACAAAGTGCCGCTCTATTTTGGGTCAAGAAGGCCTACACCTACACTCGCTCCGACGCTAAAATATAGAGCGACTGAACCTGTTTCGGATCAGCCCCTAATTCAGATCAATAAGACCTACACACGCTCCCTCGCTAAAATGTATGGGTTTTAATTTTCTTGGTGAAAAGGTTTGTCGTTTTCTACCAGAAAATACCGTCGCTTCATCCTAGTGCGGCCTAAGCGGCCCGCGTGGCCCGCGCGGCCGAATTGAGCATGAACATTCATTGTTTAGGAGTTGGGAGAATGTTGTGGTTTAATCAAATTGACATTGACATTACTTGGTATGTACGCATAATTTCGCGCCAATTCAGGTATCAATCTTTAGTTGAACCCAGTCCTAAAATCCCATGCGCTACATGGAACTCCATGAACACTATTCCATGGCAGAAGGACCGTTTTCCATGTGTGGCTGCTCACTTTCCATGTGGAGCCTCTTTCCCATGAGGAAGCGGCTTGGCTCCCATGGAAATTTATGTCACCATGGAGTTGGAACTAACTTTCCATGGGACGTATCATGGAAATAGTGGATATGCTACCATGGTGTGTCTTTCGCCATGGTGTTGGTCTCAACTCCATGGAAAAACAAATTCCCATGAAAGTTGAGAAAGCTGTAAAATCTGTGTTTAATTGAATATCGGTCTAAAATTTGGTGGCTAGCACCTCGGTCGAATTTTAGTAGGGCCATTTTGATCTCATACAAATTTGAGCACTTTTTCCTGCTATCTCGTAAACGGCCGTAGCTACGTTGAAACAGACAGCGGATTCGGCTACGCCTCAGTTCTGACCCCCCAAAAACATGCTTCGTAATCATCTATAGGACTGACTTTGACTTAAGCAACAGACTCTGCTCTTTGCTTTACCAGGTAAAGTTGTCCATGGGCTTAGTATTGTTGCATGGAGACCAACACCATGGAGTTTCAGTACATGCCCATGGAAAAACACTCATGGAAAAGCGGCAAAAAATACATGGAAAGTTCTCCTTTGTTCCATGACGTTCCATGACAACCCATGGGTCATGGAAAGCACCATGGGATTTTGGGACTGGGAAGGCCCAGAGAACACCTTTCAAACGTGGCTTCGATCTAATATCAAGTCAGGTTATTACTTTGTTTTGTCACAGGATATTTCAAAGGGCTGCTTTAGGATCCATACTTGGTCCTTGGTCATCCAGGACAGTGCAGGGGCATATTTGCCAGTTTCACTGCATTTTATGTCGATTTAGTCAAAAATACTCTTACATAATCTCGATCTCCCGCAATAGGCATTCCAGCTGATCAAGAATATGACGTTTACTCGTCTGTTTCACTTATTCTAGTTAAAAACTACTGCCAAGTTTGCTGCTGATCGGTTTCTTAATTCGACGCGTCCGGCGAACAAAGGCGAATCTGCAGAGCGCCCGGTAACAAAAAAAATTGCTTTTTGCAAAGGAAGATCTAACCTTTAGGTGCCTTCCTACGCGATTGTTCTCAAACCTGTGTGCTTTGGTATAGGGCGGGAATACAAAAATATGATCCGAAATAGGTTCAGTCGCTCTATCAGTTTTAATGTTTTGGGTCTCTCTGCCAGAAACGTTTGTCGCCGCTTGCGGGTGTGGGCACGCCTGTTCGTCAAGTCAGCGCGACCCGAGCTTGAACTTCAAATTCGAAAAGTGTTATCACGACTTCATAGCGAACTGGAGTCACCCGTAACTTGGGTCACGCAGCCCACCCGATTGCAGTCGTGTTGTCGGGCCTCCGATTCGATAGACCCGATATGGGTGAGATGTGAGGAGGGGAGCAGGTGGGGGTGTGTCTGCAGCGGACTCTTAGGTCAACCGAGTATATTACCGGCGGAGCGGAGGGGAGACAGATGAAATCGTTCGCTCTCCCTTCCCTCCGTTTGCCTGCGGTATTCTACCTACAACTCGCCCGATGCAGTTCTTTATCGCACTGGGCGGAACGCGCCCGTCCCTATACTAATACTACACGGAGAAAAATACTTTGGTTGCTGTAACTAAAATGGTGTTCTATCTGCCCCCTTAGTCGTAACGATAGAACGTTCTATTGTGCTGGCTGGAGTGTTTGGTTGGAGCGTCTGAACGCTCAGACGGCACGATAGAACGTTCTATGGTTATGACTAAGGGGGCAGATAGAACACCATTTTAGTGACAGCAACCAAATTTTTTCGGCCGTGGTGACCAAACATTTTTCTCAGTGTACACTGTAAACGTCCGATGCCCGATAAAGACAGCCACTGACGATGACGTCAGTCGACGAGGCGCGCAGAAGTATGCTTTTCTTATCTATTGGTTCCTGATGTCCTCCAGCGAAATACCCTATTTGTCTCCGATTCGCCTACTAAACCCGTAAAAAAGAGTGGCGTCATGTGTGTGAACGGCCCCTTGGTGCTCCAGCGCTCCAACGGCCTTCGCCAATTTCAAAAACATGCGCAAAGTTAAATGAGGGAAGGAAAGAAAGCTGGGGATACATGGGGTCGCAAGGGAGGGAGAGGGGGAGAGAGAGAGAGAGAGAGAGAGAGAGAGAGAGAGAGCAGGGGTCCGTAACTTAACATAACGAACAATGGTGCCGACACGTCGACTTTTCAGGGGGGGGGGGGGGGGGGCAAAATATGGGAAATTATGAAAGTTGCCTACCTTACTAGGGGCGTGTTACATTTTTCATTATTTGAAATTTGGGTGGGCCTATTATAAGTCAATGACACTCAATCGACCGAAAATTAATCAGATAATTGGAAGAAAACCACTCCTAAATCGCAATTAACATGTTCATAACAGGAAGACGGTGAAATGCTAGAGAGTATTAATGTTTCCTTAAAAAAGCAAAGCGGTCGAGAAAAAATTTTGACTCAATATTTGAATTTTAGATCAGTTGATGCGAGAAAAAATAGGTCGATTTGGTGTATCAATGCAAAGCAACGATAATGAGAGAAGTACTTGTAGCTGTTGTAGTATGCTACATTGAAGTTAGTACACTGTAAGCTGAAGCAATAGAAAAGCCATAGGAGTTGTGAACTCGCGAGCGAAGCGAGCAAAAAGCCAGATCCAAACAGTTTTATTTGACACCTCAGGATCGATTTAGAAAGGGTTTTTAATGTAATTTTTACCTTCTCCTTTTAATATTTTACTGGCTATCGTTGCCCCTCTTCCCCTTGGCCAAAAGTTATGGGGGTAGTGATCTGCCCCCCCCCCCCCTTCCCCGGGTGTCGGTGCCTCTAATAACGAATATGATTGGTTTGTTAAATAATCTAACAATGTCACAAATAAAACTTTAAGTAAGTTAAAGTAACCGATAAGTGGTTTTGTTATTCCCTTAACGTCATAGACGTAATCAATTACTTTAACGTCTAGCGCGACTTTCGTTTATTTAGTGACTTACTTATACCGCACAGGCATGAAATAATACATAACATTTTAACACTTATCAAACTAATATTTGTTAAACCCATTACAGTTATTTTCTTTTCAAAGTTTTGTGATACTTTGTATCTAGAGAGAGAGAGAGATTTGATTTGATTTGATTTATTGAGGATACTCAAAAAGGGCTGTAGAGCCCCACTACATGAGCACCCGCTCTCTAATAATACATAAATTTAATGATTAAAACTAACGTGTTTTTGTGATATTTTAACGCCTGAGAGGCAGGCAACCCCCTCGATGTGTGCCAGATCGTTATACTGCGTGATATTTTCCATTTATTAAACGATTGAGCCCAATATCGCCATAAAAAGACTTATTTTACGTGGTTATAGCGTTTTGCCCCCACTGGGTATGCAACCCGCGTAGATCGTCCTAGTCGCGGTGTAGAGGTGGGCACCACATCTTAAAAGGGACCTATAAGTGTCCACTTCATACCCCCAAAACTGTTTTGCTCTACTGCGAAACCATTTCTCTTAAAAGCACTACTCACTACGCGCATATAGGCGTTTGCATGCTTACGATTACGAGTGAGTTGTTCCCCCTCTCCCATCATCCACCCATTTTCCAACACATACACACGGCTCAAAACACTCTGACACACTCTTACCCACCCTCTGATACGCATACACACACATAAACACGCGTATGAGCCGCCAAAGAAGTTTGAAAGTAATTTAAAGATTTTGCGATATTTTATCGCCCTACAGGTAGGCAACCCGCTCAGTGAGTGTCCAGGCCGTTATATTTCGTTATATTTCTCATTTCTGGAACGGTTGAGCCCAATATCGGCCAGAAAAAGTCTTGTTTCAGGTAGTTTTAGCGTCTTGCCCCTGCTGGGTATGCAACCCCCGTAGAGCGGTCCAGTCGCGGGGTAGAGGTGGGCACCACATCTTAAAAGTGACCTATGGGTGTCTACTACATACCCCCAAAACGGTTTTGCTCTACTGTAAAATGCAAGGTTGAGTGGCTTACTCCCCGTACTACTAATATGATGGAGAGAGATGGAGATGGAGAGAGAGAGAGAGAGAGGAAAAGGGGGAGAGAATAAAAAGGGAGAGGGAGACATAAAGGTAGGTCGGGGGGGGGGGGGGGGGCCCGTCCGCAGAGCGATCGCCCGGGAAGCGGGCGTCACCACATTGTGTAACACCGGCCGGCCGCGCCCGCCCCGCCGCTCTCCCATCATAACATTACTAACGATTCGCTTCGTTCGGCGCTTGCCTGCGGCTTACCTTTAATACTTGTATGCAGTGAAACTCAATACTCTCGAAAATGATTTCTTTGAAGAATCGTCTCGTAACACGCGTAATGGCAACGGCGAATATCGGGCGTGTTTGGAGCGTACTGAAGCAGACGCCGACGAGTGGTTTCGGTGCCGTCGGCGGCGCAGGCCAAGGCCACACCTCCCACCCGGCCCCCTCCTCCCGTTCTGCGTCCGTTCCGACGACCATCCCAGTCGGGTGCCGAAGGCTTGGCTCGGCATTGCTGGCGCTCGCGAGCTGGGATGAGCAGCGGACCCAGTCGGAAAACAGACGTCGATAAGACGTCTATATCAGTAGATGTACATTTATAGACGTCTCATTAGATCTTGGACGCCGGTCAATAGGCAATACCGTTCACTGCCAAGCACAAGCGTGTGTTTGGTTGCCTAACCGCTAGGCGTCATAGGGCATAGGACGAAGTCGAGAAGTATATTCTCAACAGGAGGTGTACAAGATATGTATCGAATCAAACATTTTATTAGATGAGCCAATGTAACATAACATTTGTTAAAATTCGTGAAAAAATTAGAGACTACAGATTTAATAAAAAGCTAAAAAAGACAGTGTGCAATTCATGAAAAATACAACCTTCAAAGACTGTCTTACTAAGACAAGACAGACTTAAAAATAAAATCACCAAAATTCTTTGACAAATAACAGTAAGTAACTTAAAACTTAATATTGTCCCCTTTCAGAACCAGAGGCTTCGTCCCTACTATTGTCCCAGCTGGGCTGGAAGAATCAGAACCAGAATATGATGCATCCAGAGAGACATCTACATCATCAATGTAGGATAAAGATTCTTCAACAAGATTTCTCCTGCAAAAATAAAACAACTGGTTTTGTAACACCAAATATTCTACAATAGCTGTTTACAAAAGTAATGGAAAATGGCTCAACGGCTATTCCTACTGCAATATAACTCTCTTTACCTGATGATTTGGTCCAAAATTTTCATCTGCCTCCTGATGTCTTTCAGGGTGGCTGAAAATGAAATGCAAAGTATGAAATAAGAAGGCAAATTATAAAAACAAAAGTGTTTCAATTAAATACAGTTAAATGAACTCACCCAGCCCTATTTGCAGCTGTTCGTGCCTTTCCTTCAGACCGTTGCTTGGCCAACCTACGCCAATTCATGACTTCAGAAATTATGACTTTGTCAGGAGTATTTTTAAAGTCTGATAAACGAACCACTTCTGCGAAAACAAAAGAAAAAGTTAAAATGGGAAAAAAACCACAAGACATTCTTTAGTCATATGCTGAGATAACTATTAATGCAAATCAAATACTCACTAAATAAAATCTTCCAAAAATTTAAATCTTCAAACCCTTTTGCCCCATATTAGCTAAGTCTTTCGGCAAGGTCATCCAGAAGTATCGCGACAAAACTTTTCTAACAAAGGTACCAAGATCATTGTCCCTGAGAACGGACAACTCCTTCTAAACAAAGTAAATTAAAATATTTTTAATTTAACAGTAATAATTTAAGTAATTTGAAAATCAATGAAAGAACTTTTTGGAAATAGGGCAAAGTACCACTCTAGTTGCAAATGCTGCATCTTTGAGTTGCTTGTCAAAGTTAAAAAGTGTTGTTTTTTTAAAGTAGGGAGCCCCATGAAAATGTCATCCTCGTCCAAGTCAATTTCAGCATTCTGATTTCTCACTTCACGTGAGGTACCTGCAGCCATGAGTGTGCTTCGCAAGTAGGACATCTCATTAATAACATAAGCCCTAAACTCTGCAAAAGATTAGATACAAACCATTAGAAATCAATTACATTTTAAATTCGACAACTAAAGCAAATTACGTCAAAAGAATAAAACGTAAAGTTGACAATACCAGCTGAAAATATGTACCTGTATCAGTCATTGCAGCCGCCAGCTCCAGCGACTTTTGTTTTGGCATTATGCGGATGGGCATCTGTGACTGCTCTCCGTTTGGGAGTCTTAGGAGAAGAAGCAGCATTTGGTTCATAACTCTTAACATGAAGACAGGTCCTCTTTGGCATATCCTGGGGACAGAGCAAAGAATGTAGTAGTTTAAAGTTCGCTTCATTATTTTTGTTGTAAGAAAAATTTTGTTGTATTGTGTTGTATCGCAATCAAGTAGACATCGTAGAGCGTCCCTTGCCGACATAATTGTCGAAAACCGCATTCGTGTACGTCGTTTCGTTCGCCCGCTACAGAGCACCACCCATTGTCTATAGAGCGAGTAGTTGAAGAGGCGGCCCGATGGCATCGTCTACAAGAAGTCAGCTTGGCTCAGTTGATTAGAGCGTCGGTAAGGAAAGGACAAGTCCGAAGAGCAAGGAATCGAATACTCGTCTTCTCTGCCTTTTCTCGGGCCTCCCTTTAGTGGCCGTTGACGGGCCGTAGGCCCGTATCTTTGTGTACATTTTCCAACTACCCGACTCGGGTGTCAGCGCCGCAGGCCAAGGTAGATGTATGCCAGGCGCGTCGCAGCGTAACAGTGTTTCGTGAGATATCGCGAAGCCTGATACGCGAGACGTGGTTTAGCGTACATCTACCTTGTAATTTAATACCTTCTGAAGGCTTGCACTGCGGTCGGCCGCTTGGGGAGTGCCTATTTTACATTGAGTTATACAACGATTTCCGTTGATTTTCGTCTTTTGACGCACATCGACGGCAAGCTTGGACCTTTACGAATTAATACCGATTGCAAACGGCTGCTACAATCCGCAAGCCAGACACGGCTCTAGCTATCGGGGGCGCAGGTTGTGAAAGCAGTTGCGGCGAAGTAGTCCAGTTGTGTTTTCATGTCGTACCTTGACGTTAACGGTCAGCACCGTATTGGCCTGTTCTTATGCACTATTTGGAAAGTTATTTGCTTGTGTTTGTGAACACGAACGCGGTACATGCCATCAGCACGGCATTTAAACAATGGTATATGCGGTACGATTTAAGCGTTGTGCAAAACAATTTGATTATGTTGCTGTTCACCTAATCGTGTTGTGATATTGATATTGTCGGTTGCTTACTGCTTTTATTAGAAACTATAATTTTAATTTGAGTGCTAGCAGGGGGAAGGGGGGGGGTGCATAGTAGAGGGGAGCGAAATAACAAGAATTTGAGGAATTGAAGTGGTGGGTATGCGGAAAAGTTCGTTTTCGATGTAGAATGCAGTGCAATTTTTTATTTTGAGATCGGACAATATTTTCCGATTGCGCATCGCGTTCAAAGTTTTGCATTAGTTCTTACATGAGAAAAATCGTCAAAACACTGGAAATACTAATGTTACCAAGGTAGTTTCATCATGTGCCCAACCCCATGCAAAAGGATAGGGCCATCACAAAGTGGTTGCATCACCAAACGTTACCTGGTTTGGTTGCGTCAAAAAAACGTTACCTCGGTAACATTTAGTTTTTCCAGTGAAATAATGAAAAACTTGAAAATCGAAAATTTAGGCTTTGTATAGGATGCTTTTTGAAAATCTGGTCTCAGAAGTGCAATCTACGCTATAAAAGGCATCCGGTGATATATCACACTTGATATTACAACCTATGGTTGCGGTGTAGGCTTCAAAATTTGGATTCTACATCGAAAAGGACAACTTCACCGCATACCCCCCATTTCAATATCTCAAATCCTTTGTTTTCGCTCCCCTCTAGGGCATAGGCAGGCGTTTTTCCGTGTTCTTTCTTCGAAGACTTATTTTTTATAGTGATGGTTTATTTCTTCTATATTTCTTTCCTACTCGTTCTTCAGACACACGCAGTGGGCATGCAAACAGAAAAATTTATGAATAGTGGAAGGAGACAGGGGGCATTAGTCTCAGCAATATAGTTTCTTTAGTGCAGTGCATCTCGGCTGAGCTAAATGCACCTGAAGTCGAGGCGTTATTAGGATTTTCCAAACGGCTGAAAAATACTGTAGTTGTAGTAATTGTATTTTTTGGGGGGAACAGTAATTAGACCAAATGGGATGCCCTGCCGACCAGCACGACTATTTGTCTTAGTTTCGTGACCGCTCGAAAAGTACGCCATTTATACAGTAAATTACTGCATATAGTTCGTGAGTTGCTCGCGCTGGCGGAGTAGCTTGGACTTTGAGAGACCAGAACATTTTCAATAAATAGCCAGGCCGTTCCTGGTACTGTCAGTCATGCGGTCAATCACAGTGATAGTCGTTCTACTTGTGTGTGTGGTGAGTTTGTGGAGCTAGGTCTCTTTTCGTCGTACCAGACACTCCCGTTAGGGGGGGAGACGGGAGATCGTTCAACACCAGCTGTTGCATTTTGAGCCACGTCTGGGTAACAGTCCAACAATGAACACCTTGCTCTCGGTAGTCCGCTCAACGCGCGCGTGCCGCCCTCGTGAAAAATAATATAAAATTATGTGTGGATTTTCACGCTAGGCGTGATTTTCACGCTTCGTAAGCTTCACGCAGCCAGTGAGGAACCGAATTTCATCACGCAGGGAGTGAAAATCAGGCCTGGTGTAAGAATCATGCGGAAAACTTGGTAAATTTAGATTACGCGCCGCCCACGCGAAAAATTGTGTGCAGTTATAAGATAAGAAGTCCATTATGCAAAAAGACACCATGCAAAAAGACACGTCAACCATTTACAGAATGCTCATGGCCTTTTAAGTTCCTAAAATACCTAAGGCGACTAAATTTCCCCAACCATGGGTTCGTTTCACAGTTAACAAAGAATTGTTAACGTTTTTTGTTACCACCCACTTTCACCCCCTAAGGTGTGCACTGTAAATTGCTTACGAACTATAGGATCGTAATGCAAACCAAAACGTTCGTAGCTTACGAAGGATTTTGAAGCGTTGTATTACGAACTAATTGTTCGTAAGCTTACGAACTAATAGTTCGTTACGAACAAATTTGTTCGAGTTCGTTCAAATTCGAACCGGGCTGTTCGCTCATCTCTAAGTTCGTAATGCAAACCGATTGTTCGTAAGACCCTGTCTAGCCTTACAAACAATCGATTTGCAATAATACGAACAGTTTCTTTGCAATACAAAGAACGAAAATTGTTCGTAACGTTGCGAAGTATTTAGTTCGTAAGCTTTTTACAGTGTGGTTTCCAGGATTTGCACCACGCGTTTCATTGTCCAGGAGTAACCCCTAACAAGGGAAGGTTTTCCGGTGATACAGTCAGATTTCAGTGGCGCTTCAAAGTGATGTTGTTGAACCCCTAGATAAGGTTTTGCATTGGTTTTAGCTGCCTGTAGGGTGTTTGAAGGCCGTTGTACGCGAATTTAATTGAAAATTCACCAAATTTATTGCCAACTCATATTATCAACTTTACATGCACATATCTCAACAGACCATTTCACCCGAGCGCTTTTCGACTTCTCGAAGAACAACCGGAAGTCAGGGTAAAGTGTCTCACTAAATAGAGGTTTGTCGTCAATGCAACCGACAAGCTACTCTTCTCATACCTAAATTTAGTCAAAAATATATTCTTACGGCCGAGGGGGTATTCACTACCATAAAACTTGTACAGAGTACTCGGTATTACACCAAATTACGAGGTATTACCGGGTATTACGCCGGTATTACACGCAAAATTTTGCCGCTTTAAAGCATATTTTGTTATTTTTCGGTATTACATTACAAGTAGTACCGCGTAATACCCAGGTGGGGTGTACAGGGTATTACGAGAGTGAATACCCCCTCGCTTACGGCACACACCGCTTCAATCTAACGTGTTTAACGGATAGAAACGTTCCATATTCTGCCCGACTTCCGGTATTTTTGTTCTGCGAGAGGTCGAATAGCTCTAGGGAGAAATGGTTTAGAACCGCTTGAGCTACAGCGCCCAGATTTTGGGGGATATCATATCTCGGTACGTTCTTCACTTGAACAAAATTTAAACGAAATTGAAGGTCGCCAAAACGGGTCCCGAGATGAGGTTACGACCCCGGACCCCTTTTGGTGACCCCCACTGATTTTGTTGTACTATTTTTTATGGAAAGCGCTCATTGAAAGAAAACTTCCTGCAAAATGTAGCACAAACGGTTCCGGAGATATGCGCATGCAAAGATGGCGATAAAGCAATAAATTTAGAGGATTTTTTCTCAAATTCGCGTAAAATGACCTTCACACCCCCTACGGACAGCTAAAACCAGTGCCAAACTTTATCTAGGGGTGCAAACAACTACACTTTACAGCGCCATTAAAATCTGACTGTATCACCGGAAAACCTTCTCTTCTACGATACCCTTCAACTTATAGACCTCTAGCTCATCTCCTTCCGCTTACGCGGACGACAGATTTGATTTGATTTGATTTGATTTATTGAGGATACTCAAAAAGGGCCGTGGAGCCCCACTACGTGAGCACCCGTTCTCTAATATTACATAAATTTAATGCTTAAAACTAACTTAACTACAAGATAGAGTACAGAACACGAACAAGTGACACTACACAACCTAAATGATTATATTTAAATGGACAATTTTATAATTAGCTACTTAACGTTCTACGGACGGTTGGAGGTGACAGATTTACATAATTATACAATTCTAGGTCATTCCACAGTTGGGAGGATCGGACTAAGGATAAGTAATATTTCTGAGTTCTATGAATTGGAATGATCAGGCGCTTTGTGTTGGAGGGCCTACTCCCCATCCCTACTCACATTTCTCCTTATTTTTCAAAAGTGAGAAAACAGACTTTTTGCCCCAGGAGTGGGACCACCTAGGACGCTAGGCATACACCAAATGTAAAATTCCACATGTAAAAAAAGGTTTCATTGAATCCGAGGACAATTTTTTTTTGCTGTGAACTGTCTGGCGAGAAGACTTTACCGCCATTTCAAACCCCAGAACCAGAACCCCTTCCAGTAGTAGTGTACTAAAAAGCGACGTGTTACAGTTGGCAGCCCAAGTAGTACGATCAGTACGATTATTGCTCGTCCATTCGGAAATGAAAGGCCAGCCGGCAGTTACGATGCTATCGATCATTCTAACCAGTCCATATTTTTCCAGTGTGCCATCTACGGCGGTCCAGTGGAAAGGAGATCACCCGTCCTCAAGGCCTTTAAATGTTGTCTTACCGGGTCCTCAGGGGCTTCATCGCCTAAAAACAAGCAAAAAGGGAAGCAGACACCTGTAAACAATTCCCCTCACGTTGGTCCAATGTCGAAGTATGCATCACCAGCTGGCCTCCTCACACCAGGCCGCACACCTCCGAAGTCTCCGTCACGCTTGTTCGGGGCCTCGCCGAAAATACTTGGCGGGACGGGAAGTATGACCTTCCCGACAACAAAGCAGAGAAAGCCTGGAACACCTGGCCGCAGTGGTGGAAAGTAATTTTGAAGAGTGCCCAAAGCTCTAACCAAAACGCATACAATACAGCAAAATTAGTGCGAAACGTGGTTCTTTCTTGTAAACAATAAATTATCTTAGAGTACAATCTACAGCTCTTGTGGCATAATATCGGCTGAGCGCAATCGTAGTCCTTCACAACAATGATCGAAAAAGTTTTATTCTGTTTGTCACTCTGCGCTCACGTTAGATAAAGAACGAATTGAGCTACCGATCTGATATTTTTAGGGTCGTTTTGTATCCTAAAAAGACAGATCAAGTGCGAAGATGAGCATTGTAGTCAAAATATCAAAAGCCACAGTTTCCATTTTTTTAACACCTGTTTTCCTTACTAGTTCGTTGTAGGTAACTCGTGAAAGTGAAGCCCAAGGGCGAGAATTTTGTCCGTTTTCCTCGGATTTGTTGTAATGGTCCTAAATGGGCTGCAAAGCGGAAGAAGGTAATAAGGGACTTATCACCCACATTGAACCCAGAAAATGGCATTCATGATTCCACAGAATTGCACTTGTTCCAAGGCGAAAACGTGCTTGGAAAACACGTTGAAAAGTACTTGATTAATGGTGATTTTGTGCATCGAAACTTGCGGCTTTGTTTCCATGGCAATTTCCTCTTAACAGCCGCAAGTTGGCGTTGACAGTATAAACAGTACATCATTTGCATTGACGGAATGCTAAACTGTTCTTCCGCCTTGAAATGATCTGGACTGAGTTACACCTCAAAGCTAAAAAGGAGGTAGAAGCCTTGATCTTGTTTCATGAAATTAGCACTCCTAAAAACCATGATCAGTAGATGAAGTACAATGCACCGGTTTTGCGTATTACGAAAGGAACAGCTGTTGCCTTGCTTTCAAAATTGACTTAAAATGGCAGTAGCGCCCCACACGGAAAATAGACATCTATAGATGGTGGTAGATGGTCTACTGTTCGTCTATTCGGTCTAGAGACATCTATAGACATTAATAGAGCATCTAAAGTATGTACAAATTGTCTATATCTACTGATAGATATACTGCAGACATCGATAGACGGTCTTGAGGTTGTATATCTGATCTATGTATACTTTTATCGATATGAAGATATCTATAGATCATCTGCCACCAGTCTATGACGTCTAGGTCTACCTGTAATGCGAAGAATACGTCTAGTAGATATCTTTGCTACGTCTTGAAGGTCTACGTCTTAAAAACAGTAAGTTCTAGACGTCTATTGACTATCTTCCTACCATCTACCAAAAGACAATAAGGTCTAGCGAACTCTCCGAGTCATCTATCATGCACCGTCTAGAAGTAGACAATCTATAGATGTGCGTAGCCGTCTAGTCATCTCTGTAGAAAGATATCATCTTCCAACACAGCTCCTCCTAGAAGCAACCGATGGGTGAGGGGTAGCGTTCGCGCTCTCGAACCCAAAGGTTGAGGGTTCTAATCCCAGCACAGGTGACAGATTCGAACGTCCAAAGATGACCTAGGAGAACACAGAGTCATGAGGGAGTAGTCAGTTGGATCGCCAACAGGTTAAATTTTTAAATTTTGTCGTAAAATACTTGTCTTTAGTTTGTCTATCAATAGATATCTATTCAACATCGACAAAAAGACGTCTAATAGATGTTGTAAATGTGGACAATCGATCAATTATAGACGTCTAGTGGTAGACACGATTAAACGTCTAATAGACCATTGGGGGTCTAGAGAAAGATGCATATTAGACATCTACTAGACGTCTTTTTTCCGTGTGGGGCCTAAACGGCTGCAGAGAGAGCAAACCGGACGAAATTTTCGTCCATAGATTCGCAATTTGACGAGCTACCTGTAGGAAAGTACTCTAAAAAATTATAAAAAATAATTGAAATAGCAGCTATTGGAATGACTGCCCAAAAAGACCCCTACATATTAATTTTAGCAAAATCTTTGATGTGTCCTTCGATGATATATTTAGACACACAATTTCCCAAAGTCGAATGAAAATCGGGAATTTACAATTGGCGGGGTTTCCTTGTAAGCCGTGAGTAGCTCTGGTGTCTCGGAGTAGTAGTATAAAGCATTCCGGTAAAGCTGAACTGCAGAAGAATGAGGGGAAGAAGAAAACGGAAATCGCTATGCTTTAACGTGGTGACTTCCGTTTTCTTGTTCCTTCACTGTTAGAAAAAATCTTGGGATTTCACGGAGGAACACTCGTGAAAAGTATTGCCGAAGTCCTTTGGGATTTCCTCAAGAACTCTGTAGATTTCACGTGTCGAGTTTAGCTTTGTAACATACAGGGTGGGTGATCCAGGCCGTCTTTTTTTAATGCCTATACTGTACCGGATTCACGCGTGCGGGCGGGCTTGCCTACCGTCGCTTGCCATGGCGCCTTACGGCGCCGTGCGAGTATGCAACCCGTCCACACGTAAGAATCCAGTACAGTATAAGCATTACGCGGATCACCCACCCAGTATAGACGAATAAAAACTTCCACCTTTAACATCTGTTTTAGTACACAAAAACTGAGAACGGAGTCCTCTGGGAATTTCTAGTAGTGGTAGAAAGTGAATCTTCGGGAAATCCCAAGAAATTTTTAACAGTGTTGCATTCTTCGGAATTTCAGCTTTGCCGAAATGCATTACTGCCAGTGGCAGAGCGTGCCGAACGCCCGACACTTAGACAACACATCAAACACCCTCATAGGTTGCCTTCCCGCAAGGGGCTACCGACCTGCTCCGCAATATGCATGACAGTACTGCTGGAAGATCAGTCAGTGTATGGAATAAGTATCAAAAGAGTCTGGATCGAGCCATTGGTCTATATTTTGCACGTGGCAGGGGGACCTGCCGAATGAGACTACACTCAGATGCCTCTTTTTTGCATGAATCGCTCTTTAAACACTGTACGTGTCAAACTGTGTGGGGCAACCTTAGGACTGTAACCTTAGAGCACAAAGGAACAATATCCAACCCGAACAGCCTAGCTAAAGAATGATTGTTTTTTATTTTTAAAAGAAATGTTTTGGGCCTTTTTTCTCTGATTTTTTGGACAAGTCAATTTTTGAGCCAGAGGGCTCAAAATCAATACAGTTTCTATTCTTTATGATACAAAGATTCTTCCAAAAAATATTACGTTCCTAGCTAAAACCGTTCGAGTTATCGTGGTAACAGACAGACACGATACTTTTTCAACATCACTGGAGTTATAGGCTTCGCTGATCGCTCAGCCAACAAAAGTAATCTGTAATTGTAAATGTAATTATTTAAGATTTAGTATAGATGAGCTGGGATACAAGAAGTACACATTAAGCGATACAACAGACCATTGCGCTGAGCTGAAAAAGAAGAGATGGAAGAAGCAAAGGTATAGTTTAGGGCTGATAGGGCCGATTAGTGAGTGATTTGTTGTCTTAGAAATATCACATTTGCTCTCAAAAATCATTTTGAACATGTAAGAGTTGTAAAATCCTGTGTTAGAAGGTCCATGAAGTCCCAATAAACATTTTCGCTTCTTTCTTCTCTCCTTCGTTTTCGGCTTAGAGGAATGGTCTGTCGGTTGAGATTCCAGAACGAAATTAACAATCTGTATTCAAATGAAAAGGTGCAGGAAGTCATGATTTGCACTCAAGTAAATAGTGGAGTGTCGACGACGCTGATTGACTCCGAGAGTCCAGGAGACGATTGCTTCAACGCTGATACCGTATACTTCCTAGCTATTTGAACGCCAGCACACCACTCGCGCAACGGGCTTCGCGATATCTTACGCATCACTATTACGCTGCGACGCGCCTGGCGCACAGAGCACACACAGCTAGGCCAGCGGTGCTGACACCCGAGACGAGTTCATAGGGAAGTATAGTCACATTATCGCGTAAAAGGCATCTTTTTGGTGGTAGTAGATGATCTAGGGCACCAAGAATCCTAATAATGGTGTGGATCGAGCCAAAAAGTTTGGTTTTAGGATTTATTACTTTACAATTTCTCGATTTGAAGCAGCCCTTTTCACAACTTTACATACAATTTGGCCTTTTTTTATATATTTTTACTTGTTTACAAGGCGTTACGTCCTAACAGCGAAGCCTGACACCGAAAATCTCGCCCGTTTTTCTCTAACTTGTACCTTTAAAGCCCTACAGGGCATTTTTTTTTTTTTTGACGAAAGTTAAGTGAAAATAATTAAATGGCATTATTAAGTAGTGAAACAGGCTTCAGGAAAAATAGAACCACACATTTCGCGTCGGTCCATACCGTCTGTAGGATTTCTAGGTGCTTTAGATCATCCACTATCACTAAAAAGGTGTGTTATGCTCAAGAATCCGACTGTACCCTGATGGGTCGCTCGATGAGTCCAAATGTATCAGAAAGTGCATCCATTGTATCCACGCTGTCGTTTGTCGCCCTTCTATCTCTGCAATCACATTAATCTCCGTCCACAGCGTCTGTATCCATAGCTTCTGGACTACGAATGCAAACTTAGGACCGAGTCCAGACGCATCTGTAGCATCAACACAATCCACACTACGACCACTGCATCCACAGGGCTTCAGAGTGTCTTAAAAGTTCGGTTGCCAGTTGCGTCCAGATGCGTCCGTAGCATTCACGAACTCCTGCTGCGGTCCCTGCTTCCAATGTCATCCAGGAAACCAGATATCAAAGCCCTAGGCACATCCACCGTGGCCGCCAGCTCTACAATGCGTCCCCAGCATTCGCGTGGCGTTCAAGGTATCCACATAACGTCCCAAACACCCAAGGGGCTGTCCATAAACCACGTGGACACATTTTAGGCACTTTTCGAGCCCCCTCCCCCCTCGTGCACAATCGTGGAATTTTCCAGACCCCCCCCCCCTTTTCCATGTGGATTTTTCATGTTTTGCCGTAATTGGCTGAGCGATTAGCGAAGCCCATAACTCCACTGACCGAAAAAGTTTCATTCTGTTTGTTTGTCTGTTTGTATGTCTGTCCGCACGATAACTCGAGAAAGAATTGATAGAGCGATCTGGGAATTTTAGGGTCGCTTTGTATCATAAAAAGACAGATCGAGTTCGAAGATGAGCACTCTAGCTCAAAAATTGACTTTAAAAAAAATCGAAAACCACAGGTAATAAAATATTTTTTTTCCAAATATTTTTTATGGTCTCCTGTAGGGTAACTCGTGGAAGTAGATCCCTACGAACCAAAATTTCGTCCGTTTTGCTCTATCTTGTACCGTTCCGGCGCTATGGGTCATTTCTTGGCGAAAACAACGTGAAAAAGACAAAATGGTCTATTAAATCGTATAAAAGGCTTTATGTCACAGAATTGTAAAGGGAGTGATACTTTTAATGAAAACCGTACCGAACATCAGAAGTTTCATGTCCCTAATTTAAGAGTAATAAGACCCCGAAAAATGGTTTAAGTATGTCAAATTTTGGGCCCGGAAGGCCCTATTCCCCTATACCCTCTCCTTAACTCGTCTCGGGTGTCAGCGCCGCAGGCCTAGCTATATGTGCGCCAGGCGCGTCGCAGCGTAACAGTGTTTCGTGAGATATCGCGAAGCCTGTTACGCGAGACGTGGTCTGGCGTACATATAGCTAGTATGCATAGATTGGCACAAAAAGTTCCGTTCAGGAACGGATCGTGAAAGCAGATGATACGAATTTAAGAATTATTCCAGTCTATAATATTTCAGTGGAAGATCACGGGACGCATTACTTGCAGAAGTATATAGATAATTTACAAATCTTAATTCACATTTAAATTAAATATTTATACATAAAAAGATTTGGGTTGTGTTCTATGTCTCATATAATTTGTAAAGTTTTGAAGGGTCTAAGACATAGTTAGTGTGAAGAGGGACGTAGAGACAGTTTGCGAGTGATACTTCTCAATAAGACATGGTTTGAAAATAATGTTTCTGAATTCATTTAGTTCTGTCTCTGCGTAGTGAGGTTAGAGTTTGAATTCCCGCGCCGCGCGCGTTCCTCAGCCGAGACGGTCCGAGCCGAGCTCCGAGCTGCGCTTCGAGCCGAGCGACGAGCCGAGTCTGCCGGAGGGAGGGGGAAGGGGAGGGGGCCTGCGTAGCTATGGGCTTTAGGGCACGGACGGACGGTCGCAACAGCGCCCTACAGACTACTGGATGACGTCATGCCTTGTGCCTCTCAGCCTCAGCGCTCCGCACTAGAGTACAAGCAATGACACATCGTTAAGTAAAGTATTATTAATTTCAGTTGTGTATGATGTATCATCTACTAAAAAATGTATCGAAAGAAAAATTAAAATGTATATTGTTTCAAGGTTTATTTTTCTTCAAAAACAACCGGAATCGTTTAGATTTATACACGCGTGACGATCACATACGAAAAACTCTACTCCAGCTGCCCGCTGTCTCCTGCACGGACGGACACGACAAGCGACGTCAACAATGACTGAAGGAGGAGAGGTAAGGAGGGGCAGGCGGCGGGCAAGTCGAGCAGCCCCAGCGGCCGGGAGCCGAACCAGCGATGCTGCGCAGCGCTGGGGAACGAACCGAGCCCAAATCGAGAACGTTTTGGTTAGTGTCCACGTGGAATGGTGGAAAACAACCCCCTCCCCCCTCGTGGACAATCGTGGATTTTTCGAGACCCCCCCCCCCCCCCATCTTCCCACGTGGTTTATGGACAGCCCTCAAGAGCCCAGCTTCCATATGCATCCAGATGCAACCATAGCATCCGGACTAGATGAATGTCCAATCGTCCATAGCATCCAGGTGTCCCACAAGTCACGCGAAGATAAGATAAGCGTCCTAATGGATCCAGACGTACCCCTCGCATATACGCCCACAACACTACACCATCCACCTGGTGTCCACTGTCCAAGACATCCAGAGGGCACAGCGTCCAAAGGGCACAAAGTTCTCCCAGACGCGTACTTTAGCAGTCCGATGGTGGCCCGGAAAATTAGGACTTTCTTATTTTTGCCTATTTTAACTCTGAAATACAAATGAATTGTTCCTAAAATGTTGCTTTTTAATAACCTTTAAATTTGAACACTTGTACACAACACTTCCACAAATATCTTGGAGATGTTGTCACTTCTGGATTTATTCTCCGATGGTTGATTGATTGCCCTTACGCCCTGCCACTCACCTGCAACATAAATATGTAGTTCTTTAACAAAATCATGTATTTTGGTAGAAACAGTTATTAGACTCAAATAATATAATCTGCATGCCTTCATACCTATCAAGGGTATCAAAATGGTTATTTGTTGATAAATTCATGATTTCTCTGGACACCTCGTATTCGCTTTAACTTGACCCTCAGCTGCGACGACAACCAGAGACGCATCTGGAACAAAAATGTTAACCACAATATTCTGGCTCCTGTTCCCAATCCAAGTCACAGTAATTAACGGTAGCACTCTTCTGATAAAGCGTATTGTAAGCTTTTTAGGTTATTGACACATCTGCTTTTACTATTTCTAATTTCTTTATCACTATAAAACAGGATAGCGAAATAGCGAAAAGCTTACGACAACTAAAAACTTGAGATTAAATACGCTGCGGTCATATCGGCTAGAGGTATTGGCGGTCAATGTACGTCTCAAGCCCACTGATTCGTTTTGACAGTTTAGGCCCTAAACTCTTAACCGCCATGCTCCGACGTCGAGACAGTCACACTATTTTTATTTAATTATTAAGGCCCCCTCATGAGCAAGAGCATATTGTGACGTCACGTCGTCATGCACGCGGTACCGACGGCAGAAGTACCGCGAACCGACGGGAGGTACACGATAATGACAACAGGCTTCTGCAAGTAAACAACTTGTCACAAGTAGGGTAAGGTGCCCTAATGTGACCACTGTCCATTGATGGCCACTTTTCTCGATTTCCAGCCAATCTGTTCGCTTTACAATCTTGGCCTTGAAGTTGGGTTCTAGTAAGGTCCCTACTTGGGCATAATAAGCCAAACTACTTCACATCGTTGTCTACATTACAAGAAAAAGGAGTGGCAATCATTGGGCAGGCCCATTCTTAAGGTGGCCATCATAGGGCATCTTACCCTCATCGACTGCACTCAAGTATATCAGGTTTCAGACACAAGACATGTACAAAATGACAATTTTGAGAGTCAGGCGGCCTTTTCTTGGCTACGGTATTCTTTTTAAAGTAGAGGTAAGGCGCCACAGTTTCGTAGGTACGTAGGATCTTACTTTAACCTTATGGTGCTGCCCTCTCTTGTTTCTATAGTTTGTCAATAATTAAATGGCCTCCTGTTTAATTTCAGTATCAAACAATCATGTGTGATAAATCTTTTTGTCTGCTTGAGAAGTCAAAACATCTCCAAGTGTACCTAACCTAACTTCATGGTGTCTCCTAGGCCCATAGCTGGGTCAGTATCAGTGGATAACTTTCGTGGACATCTCTCACATCATAGCAGTAGATCCATGTTTATCGAATGACTTTTACTAAATGATACAACCGAACGTCAGGGTGATGTGCTGTAAGTAAACCGTGAGGTGAGTGTGATTGTGTATGCTTGTTGTTTCCTGGCATCATATAAACGGCTAATGTTTTCTTTCGTTACATGTAGAAGTTCCCAAATAAGCTCAGACTGAGTAACTATGGTTTGAAGATGAAATAATAAAAATGTGTCTAAAAAGTTTTCTCTGCACTTGGTAAGTATCTGTAGTGATGAGTTGGTTTAACATTCTGTTGAGTAATGACTAAGTCGAAACCTGTTTTAACATACTTTCGCAGGTTCAGTTGCACTCAAGCTTTTATTTTATGCCGTGAAACTTTTGTAGCTAGCATTTCGTATTTGAGAATGTTGCAAACGATGGGTGTTCAAGTCACAAGTTACAATTTTTTTTTCAAATTCCTTTATTTTCTATATGTACAAAAGTTTGCCGTCTATAATAATGACTCTGATACTTTTCAGGAGGAAATTCATTTTGTGGATAATTGACTTGAAGGGCCAACCAAGCAAGCGAATTATTGTGATATGCTCGCAGCAAAGTAGATGTAGGATGTAGAAGGCTATGTAGTGGAGGTATTTCCTCCCGTGCAAGAAATGGATGCAACTCAGTAAACATAGTCACCATTTTTTTAAACATTTTTCCTTTACTACAAAGTAAGTTTTGAACTGTATTTATAAGAAAAGTAACAGAGGCGACCGATCTTCAGTTTTGAATGTAGATGACACAAGTTAAAAAAAAAAATTGTAGCCAGGAGATCGAGTAACGTTAGACCACCGAGGATGCTTTCCTTTGATTTCTAAAAGGAGTTGAAGTCAAGAACAAAGTTCGCTTGTTTTTATTTAAAAATGAAGAAAAACGACATTAGTACATGGCCAAGTCGATTTCGATCGGAAAAAAATTGCGGCTGGACTAAAATAAGTTGATCTTGTAGATCTCGCCGCGGAAAACAACAAAATCCCGAGGTTTTCCATCGAGCCGGTTTTGAACAAATGCCGTTTAAAGTTCGGAATATTGAACAAAATTCAAAGTTAATTCTCTCGAAAATATATTATCAGGGAAATTCGAGGTTTCCACCATCGAACGTGCGCTGATGTCCTCTTTTAGGATATGTAAGGTTTGCTAAGGTTTTGTTTCGAAAAACACAAGTTAGAGGCGTAAAACCATCATTCTTCCCATTTTGGGGATTTCTTTCTTTGGTAGTGAGTGAGGTAAGGGCGATAAACTTTTTAATAACCTTTAAATTTGAACACTTGTACACAACACTTCCACAAATATCTTGGAGATGTTGTCACTTCTGGATTTATTCTCCGATGGTTGATTGATTGCCCTTACGCCCTGCCACTCACCTGCAACATAAATATGTAGTTCTTTAACAAAATCATGTATTCTGGTAGAAACAGTTATTAGACTCAAATAATATAATCTGCATGCCTTCATACCTATCAAGGGTATCAAAATGGTTATTTGTTGATAAATTCATGATACGAATCCAGCTTGTCTGTTTTGACACCAAACCATAACAAACCGAACATATGCTGAAAGAGGACATCACCGCGCGTTGCACGGCGAAAACCCCGAATTTCCTCTATAATTTTTTTTGGAAGAAAATCGTTTTTATTTTTGTTTCAAATTTCGAACTTTCGACGAAATTTGTTCAAAAATACGGCCCATTGGAAAAAACATCGGGATTTTGATATGTTGTTCTCTTAGATGTACTCATTAGAGTCCAATCATTCGCATTCCATCGCAACATTTCTATTTCTAGAAAATGTTGATGTTTGAAATGTCTGTTCTGTTTCCTTAATAGTGTAGGCGGTTCACCCCACATACCAGAAGAAAACTGCAAAACATATAAAAAGCGGGATTTTTTTTTTATGAGTTCTCTAGACCCTATTCTTTGATTTGACCCGCAGCACACAAGTTTTCGACCCATAGGAGCCGAGATTTTAACGCATTTGTTCAAAATTTGAACCAAAATGGTCGAAATTTCAAAATTGTCGGACGAAAGTCATAATGGACACTTTTCCGGGTAAACTTGACGCGGGAAAACGGAAAAACACACTCTCGAACCCTTCCGACCTCTCACTTGGGCCCCAGACGCCGCCATTTTGGATAATTTGGGCCTAAATGCCGAAAGGAACAAGTTATCCGCAATGGCCCGATATGGGTGTCGTTTCCGCATATTATAACATTTCTGATGCCGAATATTAGGTCCAATGAACGCAAAATTGATGGAGGTGATGGTAAACAGAGATGGTTTGATACTGCTACTGAGTTACAATGGGTCAACATTAGGCTAGACAGCTTAGTTTGAATTTGCCATTTGTTGGCGCGCCTGGGCGCGGCAGGCCGGTGGCCGACACAGAGCACTGCCGGCGCAGGCGCTCTCGCCCCCCTCTGTCTCTGGCCGGCCGGCTCGGCTCGGCTACTCTCCTCGGCGAGCGGGGAGTCCCCTCCCCTCGCCCCTCGCCCCGCGTCTAGCCAGCCCGTGCCTCCCCGAGCCGTAAACAAACTGGCCGAGCTACGCACTGCACTGTTGTCGTGTTGAAACCTGCATCAACAAAGAAGAGGTTAAAACTATGTTTGTGCACTAGTGTACTTCTAGAAGTTCGGAATTGTCGCTCACCTTCATGTTGCTGCTCCTGCCTCTCCAATTCGACGTTGTTGGCAAGTACTGACCGAAGTGCATTTGTAAACAGGTGTGATTTCGTAAACAATGCATCGCATGGACATTGTGTATCAGCAGAACTTTATGTCCCGTGAATTAAGTAGACGGCACGATACGTATAGGTGATATCGGTGTATTCTCTGTTTAACCTAACCTCCTTAATACGTGTAGTACTAAGACGGAGTTTGCTCTTACGAATGATCCTCGGGCTTTTTACGTGCTATTGTGTTATGAGTACGCGTTACGGTGTTATGTTAAGATTTTCCCGCTATGATTTCTCGTTTAATCTTTCGTAGTCTTGCGTCTGCGTAGCTTATTTCTCGAGGATTTCTCAGTTATCGCCTTCGCATTCTTTATCGAGCAACGTTTAAAAAATAGTAATTCGAGTCAAAAGAAATATTGTGACAGTGCCCCCTCTCAGAATCGCGCCATATGGTTCAGCTCTTCTCTGCCGGCGCACCTCTGAAAGGGTCCCCACGTCTAGCGTCGTTCTAGGTGTAGACTGCAGCGTAACAGGCTTCGCGAGGCAGCGCGCTTCCCGAGGCAGGTGAAGGGAGGCGGCGGTTACCCTTGTAGTGCCTATGCACAATAATGTGCATTAAATGCGGCAATGCACATTAAAATGTGACATAAAGGTAACGCATTTTTTACGCATTAAATGTGCAAATCGCGCATTAATTGCGCATTAAGTGCACCTAAAATGTGTTACCTTATAGGCGCATTTCAATGCGCATTACCTCACCGGTGCTACCCAGGTGGGTATGCTGGAGACCCTCTCCCCCCCTCCCCCCTCTCTCTCCAACACTTGTGCTCAGAGGTACTGAGGGTAACCGCCAAGTCGTGCCCAGCTGGGACGGTAACTGAAGCGCGACTCGTAAAGGGTGCACCGTAGTTTAATCGATTCTATATTTCTTAAAAAACAACAAGTACTGTTCTCGGAATGTAAAATGGGGCGTCTTAAAATGTATTTTCTTTACGTTTTGCACATCTCTCGACAGATTTGTGCCATGAACAAAAAGAAAGTGGTGCTTGCAGCACCCGTCCCACTCCAATCCGTTGATGGTAACATCAACTGGGATGTCTGCTGCCTGTGCCAAGAGACATCATCTGATGACCTTGTGTGTCCCGCAAACAATCCAAACGCCTCCCAAATAAATAAAGGTTACAATACACTGTCGGTAAATATCGAAAGATTGAAAGGTTCCACCCATGTGTTTCCTTCCAAACGAAAATCTGAACATTTTGATGAAGGCTGTGGAATAAAGGAAACTCTGATCAAAAATAGAGCCAAATGGCACAAAAAATGCATTGTTAAGTACACAACCCGATTTTCTAATATCCTAGAAGAACTTACCTCTGAGAATGGGCACCAGGAGCACAAGACGTCTGACGTTAAAACTAGATCGTCATCTGTGGCTATCAATCCAAAGGAAGAGGTCTGCTTTCTCTGCAAAAAAGAATCTGAGGAAAATCAACCATTACACCGTTGTATGACCTATGAAATTTTTAATTCTATTAAGGAGTATGCGATCAAAGCTAACGATACTGAAACATTAGCATTTCTGGCTGAAGGAGATCTTGTTGCTCAAGAGGCTAAATATCACAGCATTTGTGTGCTTAATTTGCGCTCCAAAGGTAAAGATTTATCCATCCAGCAAAATAATGATGATGCTTCATGTGATAGCCTTGCGTTCGCCGACTTACTTCTTTACATGCATACCCAACTGGAAGAATTAGGGGTGAATTGTGCTTTTAACACTGCTAATCTAATTCAACTGTATAATCAGAGACTTTCTCAGTTACTTGGAAAACAACAACCATTGACTAATATACACAACACGAGATTCAGAGAAAGAATTTTGTTACATTTTCCAGACTTAAAGGCAACAAAGTCGGGTAGAGAATATGTTCTGACTCCCCAAAATGCAAATATCATCAAGAACTTGGACGTCTCAAGTGACGATCGTGACGCCTTGGCTGTAAACAGGTTTATAAGAAATGTCAGGAAAAGTGTATTTTCCTCTGAAATAAAATTTACAGGCAGTTTTTCAGAGAATTGTGAAGAAAGTTGTATTCCCCCTACACTTCTCGCTCTCGTTAACATGTTGCTGTACGGCTCCTCGATTTTAGCCGAATGCCGGGCTTCAAAACCAGCAGTTAGTATCAGCCAGCTAGTTCTTGCCAACATGTTAAAAAGGAAGCCATCTGGAAACATAGTCAGGTTTAATCAAACCCGTGAACCACCTCTACCCTTATATATAGGTTTGTCTTTGTTTTCGTCGTCTCGAGACAAATTACACATTGATGACCTTCACCATAGAGGCATCTCTGTGTCGTCAAACCGCATCTACCAGTTGACGGCAGATCTGGCTCGTTTTGTTGTAAAAAGAGCTGCAGAAGAAGGTGTTGTCTGCCCTTCAGTGCTTCAGAAGGGGCTCTTCACTGTGGCCGCCTTTGATAACATCGACTTGAAGACATCGAGCACTACAAGCCAGGGGGAATTCCATGGCTCTGGAATTTCACTCTTTCAGCTCCCTCTTAATGGTGAGGTGCCAACTCCAAGACTTTATAATACCACATTCGAAGAGGCAGCTCAGCCTGGGTCTCGGCACGTACCAAATCTTCCACGAGAATACTCAGAGGTTCCAGAGTTTCTCATTAAAAATACTCAGCCATCTCCTCCACCATATCCTTCAGATGTTTGTAGATCTGTCACAGACCTAGCAGGTAAAAAAGTACAAAATGATGTAATATTATTTCCACTGATTTTATTGATTACTCACGTTCATTATACTTACAGGTACTGAAGAATTATGGTACGGAGAGCGAGACTGGCTTGACCATATTCATGATCAGTTGACAGGGAACGAGGATTTGATCACTGAGATGTCATCTTGGGCGGCTTATCGCGCCACCCATGAAGGCGTATGCCCCCTTTCTGTGTCGAATAACTCTTTACTTCCACTCTTTCACGAAAAGTCGACTTCTCCTGCAATGGTTAAACATGCCCTAGATATAGTGAAAAATACAACAGAGTTTCTAAATCCAGGCCAGATTCCTGTTATCTGCGTGGACCAGCCACTGTTAACTCTTATGAAACTCTTACAGTGGAGTGACCCAGACAAATATGGACAAAAGAATCTTGTTGTACTGTTTGGGCCCTTGCACATAGAACAAAATTTTCTTCGAGTTTTAGGTGATCTTATGAAGGGTTGTGGATGGTCTGGCATTGTTGCAAACTCAGGCCTTCTTCCTAGTGGGTCAGCGGATGGTTTGCTGAAGGTGGCGTTCGTTTTGATAAAACAAGCTAACGCTGTACTGTCGTCGGTCACACTAGTAACAACTTGTTTTTCTTTTGTCAGGTTTCAAGTATTACCAAGTCTCGTCTATTTCACCAGTACACGGCAGCTGTGCTACATTCCCTCCTGAAAGATGCGTACTTTAATGATCACCCGGACAGCGACGTGAGCTTCGAAACCTGGATTGCAGAAAGTGCCACGCGATCACCAACCTTCAAGTTTTGGCTCCTTGTTTTAAGACTTGAATTATTACTGCTTAAATTTGTAAGGGCAGTACGAGAGGCACATTATGCTGAGTTCAGGGAGTCCATCGCTGCCATGCTTCCGTGGTTCTTTTCATCAGGCCATCACTTGTATGCCCGCTGGCTCACTGTTCATGCCTTGGACCTGTCCTCACTAGAAAAAAATGTTCCTGAAGTCCATCGCCGTTTTTCCATGGGTTCGTTTTTACGCGAATGCCAGTTTACACTGATAAAATAAGTGTGTAACTGTTTAAAACTTGTGAGTGTTAACTGCTCTATTGAGCACTTCCTACACAGTAAACGTCCAATTAAATGAAGTGTTGAACAGGGTAGTTGCACACTTGCAAATGCACCCCCAAGTTGGACACTCACACTTGAAACGCAAGTGTGTGAATGTCGCTCACTTGTAGGAGTGTGAAAATCTATTCGTACACTCAGAGGGAAGTGAACAAATGGATATTCACACTCCTACAAGTGTGCGACATTCACACACTTGCGTTTCCAGTGTACAAGTTTTCAGGAGATGCACACTTAGTTTATCAATGTAGTGTCTTTGAACCTACATAATATCAAACACTAACTACTTTTTCCTATTTAGGAGCGTTTGTTGTTCGAAAGACCCTGGATTCGTTTTCCGCACTTGGGATTGATCATGCTCACGAGCAAAACAATGCTAACATTAAATCTGCTGGAGGCGCTATTGGATTGACTCACGACCCAGTTGCCCTTAGGCGCTGGACTGTCGCAGGGCCCGAGGTGACACGTCTGCTTTCTGAATTTGAAGGGAATCAGAAAAAACAGACAGAGAAGAAGCACCATGAGCAATACCCCAAATTTCAAGAGCAATTTTTTGAAAGTTGTGCTGCTCTGAAGCACAGTTTCCTTCAAAGTGAAAATCCATTTCTGGTCAAGAACAACAAACTTCTAGTATTAGACACAAGAGTTGAAGTGAGCGAGAAGGGAATTGAATCACTTAATACAGCAGAAAGTCGTGGACTTTCTATGCTCAATGAGTTCGTAGTAAAAAGGCTGGAAACTGGCGAAATACCCTTCTATAACCCTGTAAAAAAAGAAAATATTCAAATATTTGCCTTGAAAAAAAGTCAGAAAAACACACAAGTTGCGGAACTAAAGTGTGACTTGCAGTTGTTTTCCCGACTTTTTATCGTCAGCCTTGCTCGGTCCCTTGACCTTGATATATTTTTTGACCACGAGAATCAGCCCTGTCCACCTGCGTTAGCTTTGAACGGAAATATCCGAACTGGGCAGAAAGCTAAGTTAATGGAAATCTTAGAAAAGGTTGTGGGAGATGAACGTAAGTTTATGTGTTCTAATACTGAAGCATAATGGACACAGTATTTATTTTTTTGCATGTACTTACAATAACTATGTACTCTTTACTCCATAGCGCCACCTAACACGTGTGATGGATTATTGTTGGACGGAGCAGCCTTAGTGCGCATGGTGAAGCCCCGCGAGGGAACTATTTCGTTTCAAGACTTTAGTGATCAAATCACTAGTTATTGTGCAAACTTGACTGCAAAGATGCACTGCAAAAGAGTAGACATAATTTGGGATCAGTACAGCGAAACAAGTCTTAAGGCTACAGCACGCGACTCACGTGGCACAGGGGCGCGGCGTCCTGGTCTCCCTCAGAAAGGTGCGTCTGCGAAATAAATAAATAACAATAACGATAATAATATAAATAGCAATAACACTATAACAAATTAAACAGGTACATTTCCAAAGCAACATCGGCAATGGGAGGATTATCTGAAAAATGATGGAAATAAGGCAGAACTTTTTAGTTATCTAGCAGAAATGGCACTTAAGTACAACAATGTGCAAATTGTTACAAATGTGAATGAAACCATCAAATCTAATTTTAGCTCTAAGGTAACCGTATTTCATTGTGATTACATTCTACTTTTATCTTTAATTTAATCCGACCTAATTCACTGTTAATTGTTTCAAGGGTTCATCACTGCACAATGTAAGTTGTGCTGGGATGGAGGAGGCAGATGGGCGCATCTTTCTACATGCGAAAGATATGGTTCATCATGGTTCTAAATCTTTAATGATCCGATGCTCCGACACAGACGTTGTTGTGCTTGCTGTGTCTTTTTTTCATATCCTGCACAATTTGGGGCTTACCGAGCTGTGGGTGCACTTTGGCGTAGGTGTGAATAAAAGGTTCGTCGCAGCCCATTCCATCGCCCAAAAGCTGGGTGAAGACAGATCATGTGCACTTCGTGGCTTCCATGCTTTTACGGGGTGCGACACCGTTTCCTTCTTCTCCCACAAAGGCAAGAAATCGGCGTGGGCTGCATGGGACGAGAAAGACGAGGAAACCACACGGGCTTTTAAAATTATAGGAATGCCTAATGTGAACCCACCTGATCTGACCCTTCCAGTAATGGAACGGTTCGTGATTGCACTGTACGGGGCAAAAGACATTTGTGACACCGTGAAAGACGCCCGACAGCATCTCTTTGCCACCGAAGGAAAGCCCTTACTGCTCATCCCTCCAACTGCAGAAGCACTAAAACAGCATACGCGCCGTGCAGCGTATCAAGCCGGCATTATCTGGGGCAAATCTCTCGACAAGAGCTGGGACAACCATCCTTTGCCAAGTGCCTGGGGGTGGAAATCCCAGCAAGGCCAGTGGGTGCCGCACTGGACTGACCGGGAGGACATCTGGCGAACCTGCAGGGAACTAAGTGCATGCGGCTGTGCCTCTGGTTGTGGCACCAGGCGCTGCTCTTGCAGAAGGGCTGGCGTCCCCTGTGCGTTATCCTGCAAAAAATGCAAGGGTAAATGTGAAAACAAAAAGTAAGCCATTCATATTAAATTCATGTACTGGTACTTCATACTTGATACTTACCTACGATACGTATGCTTCTGATTACTTAGGAACGACGATCCTCTTCCTGAGCTGGACGAAGATATAGATGGGGACTTAGCAGATTCTTAGTTGGAAGTATTGTCTGTACTTCACTCGCTATTTTCCTGTAACATTGTTTTAAATTTGACACTGAAATGTAAAAAAATACTTCTCAAAGTATGACATATTATACTTACACTGAAAAATTTGTTCTCAAGAATTTTTTTACAATTATGACAGAATAATAATGCATACCAAATGTCAAAATTTCTGCATTTCTTCCGGATTACCTGTGCAACACTAACCACTTAATCGAGTCAAAGTCGATTTTGCGTTCATTGGACCTAATGTTCGGCATCAGAAATGTTGTAATATGCGGAAACGACACCCATATCGGGCCATTGCGGATAACTTGTTCCTTTCGGCATTTAGGCCCAAATTATCCAAAATGGCGGCGTCTGGGGCCCAAGTGAGGGGTCGGAAGGGTTCGAGAGTGTGTTTTTCCGTTTTCCCGCGTCAAGTTTACCCGGAAAAGTGTCCAAGATGACTTTCCTACGACAATTTTGAAATTTCGACCATTTTGGTTCAAATTTTGAACAAATGCGTTAAAATCTCGGCTCCTATGGGTCGAAAACTTGTGTGCTGCGGGTCAAATCAAAGAATAGGGTCTAGAGAACTCATAAAAAAAAAATCCCGCTTTTTATATGTTTTGCAGTTTTTTTTTGGCTACCGCCTATACTATAACACCACCGGCAGGCCATGCAGGCTGCAGGCCCGGCCCCTGCCGAACGGAGTTGCCTGCGGAGCGGTGGGAAGCTGGCAACTTCGTTTAGCGGAAGGGTGGGCCCGGGTGGGCCTGCTTGTTGTTCATAACAGGGTGTAGGTCGATGCCGGAGACCGCTTAGTTGCGATTACGCGTTAATGATCGTCCAGGGCGCAGGGCACTCGCTCCCGGGGGGGACGCCGGAGCTATTTGCGCGCACCGGTCTGCGCTGAGCCATGAGTGCGTGCTCGCCGAGGCAAGCCATGGCCATGGTTGGCGGCAGCAGGAGGAGCTCTCAGACTCGGGTTTTAACAGAGAGTTTCGGAGTCGCGCACGGCAACAGTGCGCTCTAATCTAAAACGGAAGTTTAAAAATAACAAACTCACTGATTTTTCAGTTTCCGAAAGGTTTTGATTTGTCGAGCTGATTGCGTGTTGCGTGCCTCCACGGCCTTTTAGGTATGAGAAACTGTGAGATCAGTTTCGAGCTCCCCTCCATATTTGAGAGGTTAGAATCGACTCGGGCCAAATTACCAGTACAATTTCTCATACTCACGAGGCGGAAACAAATAAATCAGTGAATTTCTTCTTTTTCACTGCCGCTCAAGGAAGCCCGGAACACCCTATTCGATGGAGTTTCGCAGACTCGTGGCCGTGTCAGTTGTAAAGCCAAGATACTCTACTAGTTAACACTTAAATCGCGTCAGAGCCAGCATGTACCACCAGGTCCGGCACTTGGCCGTACTCATCAAGGCCGTGGGCGGCTGGCCTATTCGGGAAGAAGCTGGAGGAGGCAAGTACATCGAGTGGTGGACGGGACGGGCACCTACCTAACTAGCACTTCTCAACTGCCAATAAAACTAATTGATGTCATTCCGCTCTTGGAGGTTCTTGGTAAAAGGCATATATTTCGTCCGAACTCCTTTAACGTCACGCCCTTTACTGTTATTCAAGGAATGTGACGTCATATTCGTTTCGATGTGAAAAGTGTTACATACGTATGAATATTCTGTCACATTCATTTGAACGTGACTTCACGTGCACTTTTTAAATAATCAGTACAAAATTTTGTAACATTGTTACGTAGTAATTTGCAAATCACATGTTACAGAAATTTGTATCAGATTTGATACAGATTTCATTCTGTATCATGGATACGAAAATCCGTATCACCTGACACAGACCTCTCTGGGGTCTTAAAATAGTACTTCTTTATCTCGTTACTCTTCCTCCGTTTCCCCCTCTTCTTTTTCTGGGGAACTAACACCTTTGATTTAATTTGAAGGAATGTATACCTTGCCGCATCGGGAGTTTAACCCCAGACCCCCGGATTAGGAAGTCCCGCCTTTACCCGCGCGGCCACCTAGGCTACCTGAGGAGAGGTCCGGCGATGGGGCCACCACTTCAATTTAGGGTGTACACAGGATTACGTGATTGCATGGATTACGCATGAATTTTGAGGGATTACACATGAATATTGTTGAAATTATGGCTCTAAAACCATTAAATTTGGACAATAAAGTGAAATTTAGTGATAATGGTTTAAAATTTGGTCAAGTTTTACACGGAATACATAAGGGTTACAGAGGGATTACAACCTCACTTGTACACAGCATTACGCGAGTGGTGGCCCCCTCGAGGTCCGGTGGAACCCGGGGTCATGCCTCCGGGGCTCCCGGAGACCGTGTCAACCATCTTCTATGATTCTGTATCCTATGATACAGAATATTGTATCCAACGTTACTTTCACTTGTATCTGTTACAGAAATTAGAAACATTTACGGAATTTTGTGTCATTTTTATCAAATTACAGATTTTTGTACCCATGTTACACGTTTCTATATCAGAAGAGCCTGATACAAAAAGCTGTATCAAATTTGATACAGAATTCCGTATTATTTTTTAGAGTGTTAATGCATACTCAAATGGCACCAGGCATTAGGCGATTCACGTTTAAACGAATGTGACACAATATTTTTAAACAAACGTGACACGATTCAGAATGAAACGAATGTCACGTTAGATTCGTTACTATTAAGGGCATTTTTTTTCGACGAAAATTAGATGAAAATGACCAAAGGTTCATTGAATCAGATGTCAGAAAATCGAGGGGGAAATCACTAAGGTTCGTAGCGTACGGACTATTTCGTGGAATTTCTCCTGCCATTTCGGCTATTTCTCGCTTATTTCGGATTATTTCAGGCTATTTCGCGCTATTTCGGAGTATTTCAGGGGTATTTCGCGACTATTTCACCGACTGTTTCGCGTATATTTCGTCTTTATTTCGCTCTATTTCGCCTCTATTTCGCCTCCATTTCGCCTTTAATTCGGACTATTTCGGGGGAAGGTATACGAACTACTTCGCAAGTGATCTCCCCCTCGCAGAAAATTGTAAAGTAAGTAAAACTACTTCTACAGTTTTAGCGTCGAACCACACCCTTCTAGGGATCCTAGGTGGCCTATATCATCTGATACCACTGAAAAGTACCTAAGAATCTGACAAAATTAGAAAAATTAATGAATACTCTTACTAAATGTCAGCAGTTTCGTTTCCCTAGTTTTGGGCTTATAAGTTCCCAGCGGATGCTGTGAGCAGCATCTCAATTTGCGGGGCCGCAAGAGGCCCTATTCACATATACTTTCCTATCAACTCGTCTCATGCGGGAGCGCACGCAGGGTACGCGGCGGTGCCCCTGAGGTCGTGGCCGGCCTTCCGCTGCCTCTTCATCGTCATGCTCCTCGTCTCGATGGCGTGCGCAGCGCTGCACAGGACTATCAACGAATACGCAGACGTCGAATTCGTCGAAAGGGTATTTTTTTTTCTTGTATATTGTAATAAACTTATCGTAGAGCGCTGTTTTCTTTCTCTACGATATCTTTTGAAGACTAAACTGTAATCATCTTGTGAAAAGGTGTTCGGTGAATTTTGAATGATTCAAACAGATTGCTCAAAATACGAAGAAAACACTGTTAGCAAAAGTGTTCAAGTGGCGTGCACGTTCAACTGTTGAACACTGCTTTGCACACTATTCACTGTTCGGGTAGAAATTTGAATACTTCAAAGTGTTAATCACAAAATTTCAACTGTGGGACTGACCACTGACCATGCAGCTTTCAACACTTTAAATTGTTGGAATTTACTGTTGAGCATTTGTAGGCATTTGAATTTCCAGTCTGTAAAGTGTACAACGTAGTGCTCAACACTTAAAGTTCACGTACGTTGAACACTTTCGTTAACAGTGAATATTGACTCTTGGATGAATTTTAGAGGTAAAATGTTTAGAGGAAGATTGCCTTTTTTTCGTGGAAAAATACCATTTTAGATGAAAATTTGATTTTTCATCTAAGATGAAAAATCGCATGTTTAGAAGAAAATTGTTTAGACGAACGGTCAAAACGGCACTAAATCTTCAATTTTCACAAAATCCTCGGAGGTAAAGATTGGTTTACGAATTCCACTAGCGTAATTTGCGAAGCCGATGTTCTTCCACTAGAAAATCCCTATTTTGCAACAGTTGCTTAACTTCTTAAACACAACAATTGTACCTTGAAAATTTCAAGATCAGTCTGGTTCCGCAGTTATGGATTAAGTTCGTGTGCAATGGTACCCAGCCGCAGTGCAGTGTTGGCATATCGACCTGTTCTACTAGCGTTTAATACTATAAATAGGGACAGTCCGGATTTACCCCGAAATCAAATCCGCACAGGGTTTCAGAGGCTCGTACAGGTGAACACGTGAACTGGCTCAAAGAAAATTTCCGCTAACATTTACCTTGGCGCCTTGTTTACAGAATCCGCTGGAATTTTGCACACGCCTATCCTTTTAATAAATATTGACGAAAAACGAACAAATTTGTCCGGAAGTAGACATTTTGACGGTACTATAAACAGATCTGTTTCGTCCCCCCACCTGTTTGTATTACGAAGGTTTATCAAGAACACTGGAAGTTGCAAAGAGCTGCGTTAGACTTTAGGAGTGTATGGCTGAAGTGTGAGGACTAACGTTACCTGGATCCTTGAATTTCCTTCACGAGTGATGTGCCGAAACAGCCAGCCATACACGCTAAATGTATTTTGTATGTTTTGTACAAATATTCGCGCTTAGGCCAGCGTTTCGTTTTGAATGAGTTTGAGCGCAATAACAGCATGATTTCGTACAAAGAAATTCATACAAAAGTTCAAATCAACGCAGAATTGTGTGCACTATAAAAATTCAAAGGCGAGTACGGGATGATACACGGCACACCCCAGACAAAGAAAATCTGGCCAAATACCAGGCAGGTTCCGTGCAACCCCCGGGCGGGCAGCCC